TCCCAGAGCTTCATGGTCTGTCACTATTGTGAACTTAAACCTGAGGAGTTTATCCTCCCATTTCAGTAGTGCTTTGATAATTGCTGGGGTTTCTTGCTCAAGGGTTCTGTAATTTTGTTGGACATTGCTCAAATTTTTTGACATGAAGCCTACTGGATGGCAGGTCTTCCACTCAGGCCCTTGTCCATACAGTGCACACACTTCATAGAGTGAGGCATTGCAGATGAGCTGTATGGGCTGTTCTTTTTGCAGGTTGATTGGCTGCAACACCAGGTACTTACATGCCAGATCTTTTATCATCTGGAAGCATTGGTCATGCATTTCCCTCCACAGCAATGGATGTCCATTCCTTTGTAGCCCAGTCAGTGGCATTGTGTACACTGAAATATCTGGCATAAATTGTGCCAGGTATTCTATGAGGCCAAAGAACTGTTGAACCTCATTGAATGACTTAGGCACTCTCCAGTTCCTAATTCAAGACATTTTGTTAATTCGATGGTAGGGGTTGTGTCAACATCATTACTCTGCTCCCTCTCTCTGTCTCTAACTTGGGGCTTCAAAGTTGTTATTTTCCTGTCAATGAGGACAGGTATATGTGTAGCTACATGGGGAGTATGTGACTATGAACTAAGCAATGTCAAAAGTCAAAAGAGCAACAGGAAATGATGGAAATTAACTGAGATCAATGTAATGATGGCCATGAGGCCAATATAGTGTCAGCAATCAAAAGAGCAACTGAAATAAAGAAAGTGCAAGGAAGCACAAGTGTTCCAAAGGGAAGCAAACAATAACACAGTAAGAGTGACAGAAATGCTGTCATGCACCAAAGGTGTTTGGTGAAGTGGACATGGATACAGCTGATGAATGGAGATGAAGACCATAGCCCTCATGTGAAGAAGGATGGCCAGAAATGTCAGCAGTCATCCCTCACACAAGAATGAGTCATCAATGCCAAAGAAAAAGAAAGGAAGCAAGTTAGGCACCAGTAGAAATTCTTAACTGCCCATGTACAGCATTCCAGTTTTCAACATATCTCTGCCATTTCTGCAGATACCAAAACCATTCCCACACTTGCTTGTAGTGCTCATTCATGCAATCCTACCTTCCAAAATTGGAGAGGATCTGCACACTTCACATGTTTCTACAGCTCTCCCTCCAAAAGATGCTCATTTCACTAATTCCTCTGATATGGCCACCTCCACATCAATCATTTCACTTGTCCCCTTTGCTAGGGACCATGGCTATGTATATCTACCAGGAGTTCCTACCAGCTTCTGTCCTGAAGCATTCTGGTACATCCCATCCTCATCTGCCCCCTCTCAGCCCATCCAGCTTGGACAGCATGTTCTTTTTGTCAGTATGACCTCTATGAGGACATTCTTTGGTCACCTCAAGTCTGTCACTCACTTAGAAAGGTCTTATGTGGTCATTTCAGTCACTCCAGTCCAAGAAGCATATAGATCCTTCCTCCCTGCTCCCTGCAATGTCTTCATACCAGTCTTGTCCATCATTCTTCCAAAATTGTGACAGCTACAGTATAACCTACTGTTCTCCACTCTCCCTGATCACATCCATGACAAGTATGATGCACATCTTGCCTCCTTATTGCAAGATACAGCAGAAGATGCTCCCCCTTTGTCCTCTCTTCCAACAGAGCCTCATACATGAAGTTTTTGTTTGCTTCACTGAGAGGACAGTTAGGGGGGAAAGTTGCAATCCCCTATGCTTGACCCCTGTTGACATCTGATTCACCCTGTCCACTTTTGGATGTACTATATCAGCATCAGATCAGTGCTGCCTCTCTGTCATCCCACCTTGGCCTAGAAGAAATCTCTTTGAGATGTGACATGCACAGCCTCCCCCTAATGTGATTCCAGTGCACTTTCCCAGTTCCTGACACTACTTGACTCATACTTTGACATTCTGACTGTCTTTGACTCACCTATTGCCAATACTTACCAATCTATTGACCTTGCTTACTGATTCTTTGCTTTTTGGCTTACTTATCCTTACCAATGCTTACCAATGCTTTCTAAGATGATTACCCATTCCTTACATTCCTTACTCATCAGTTACCAATCACTTACCAAGTGTTTGCACCTTGTTTTCCGTAGGCAATGCCCCTGTACTGTATATAAATCACTGTACTTAGATAGCTGAAGAAGGAGAAGACATCAGAGAGCCCCTCTTGCTCACATTTTTCATCATCACTCAGTAATTTGTTCATCAGCCTTGATAGTTGAGACTTTATTAAGGGTCTATCTATCATCTGCTTCACTCCAAGCCCTCCCTGAGCTCCGTGCAGCTTAGGACATTGAATTTAGTCATCCTCCATCCTTCTGTAGGCTGACAGCAGCAGTCTACCCCCATTGCACCCTCTTGCATTCCTGCTCCTTCTTCATTGGGAGCACCCCAAACCCTCACCACTCATCTTTGAGTGTTACAGCTCACAAAAACCCACCCAAATCAAAGGTTCTATCATCTAGGTACCATGTAGGCACACCACTACTCGCTTTTATTGTCTTTCATGTTGGTTTTGGTTGGTTTCCACCACTGAACCACACTTTGATTCACAACACACTTACATAACCAATAGTGCAGGCCCAAAGAGCACAAGTGAGCAAGAACAGGAAACCTGAAACCTGACAGAAGCATCAGACTTTCATTGCAATGGCCAGGGAGTGTCTCCAGAGGTCATGTGATGGCAGGGGAAGTGACTCAAACAAAAGGGGTGGAGTTTTGGGTGACCTGGAGCACAGAGGGTGTCAAAGATGCTCAAGAGGGGTTGCATTTGCATTGCTTCTGTCAGAATGCCTGTAGAAGCTTAGTAGACCTCCTATTGATATGATACCAACACTCCTAGTGTAGGGAGATTGCTCTCCCCACATTGGACCTATATGGAGCTGTACATGAGTTCACATGTGACAAGTGTAGTCACTGTGTGGATCACATAGCCAAGGGGCTACTGAATGGTAATCTGTCTCTAGTCAGGGTTCTTACAAATAACAAGAATCATGCTTGATGGGAGTATGAAAGGGGTAGAGAAGATGGAAGGTGTGCTTTGATGGAGACACCAAATCTTAGTGCCTGGTGCCCTAGGATGGCCCTTCACCTACTGGCATATCGCCTCCAGTGTATGGAAGGACATCAAAGGGATGCCCTTCAAGTAATATCAATAGCATGTAAAGACATTTGGCACGTGGCTCAACCCCAATTAACATTGGATGAACCCTTAGGGAATGCTATGATTGACCTGCAACTGCAGAGTGTCATGGCCCCTAATGTCCAAATATACCCAGCCACAGTGGTAATTGAAATGCCATGGGGAATGGTGTGGATAAATAGAGACAGGATGGTAGAGCACTTGGCACATGCACCCCAATCAGACCAACATAAATTGCAGCTCTCTCTCATGTATTACTCACTCAATATAAGCTGATTACAGGGCTGCAGGGGAAGGATTTACACTCAAATTATGTAGTGCAGCAGCCTGTATATCTCAATCTTGATTGTGTATTTTGTACCAATTGTCTCGAGTTTGCCTTCCCCCATAGTAGGAAAAGGCCTTTGTTTGGTCAACTTTGCCCCCTTGCACAAGAGGTGTGAGTTTTACTGTCCACAATTGTGCATTTTTGGGTATTTTGTGGACTTGTAAAAATTTTCAAGGCTTAGCAGTTGTGCCCCACTACATAGAATCCTACCAAAGTACTACACTTTTGGTAGGGGCCTGATAGTCAACAAAGCAGACTCTACACTACACCTATTAGGCAGGTAACCACACAACACAATGCTGCACTTTTGGTAGTCACTTGATAGTCAAAAAAGCAGATGCCTATTAGGCAGTCAACCACACAACACAATTGTTACACTTAGGGCAGTCACTTGATAGTCTAGTAGTCAAAAAAGCAGACATAATACTACACTTTTGTTGGTCAAGCAAAGATGAGATCCTTCATTACCAGCATTCTATAGTACAACAGCCTGTAGTTCAAAAAAGGCCAATTCGCAGTTTTTAGCGGAGTTTGAATTGCTCTGCAGGAGTTTGAAATCATTGCCATGATCTTGCACATCCCCAGAACTTGGTATTGGACAACTGCAGGAAAAGTTGCACATGGTTTTCATCATACAAAAGCAGATGTTTTATATTACTTAGCAAAATTAGTGAAACACATGAAATACACAAAATAGTTGTTAACTGTCAGTGATGCTTTGGGTTCTCCCTTAATTATATCACTAGCTATCACCAGCCCTGGGCCCTGTTGGCCCCAGGGTCCCCTACATGGTCATTCTGCTGGCATTGGTCAGTTGAGGAGTGTTGCTCCTCAACTAACCAATGCCAGCTCGCTTTCAAAGGAAGAGCTTCATCTCATTTGCTTTCACAATGCTTCAAACCATTCAGTTGTAGTCATAGCAATTTGATGGCAGACAGGAGTTACACAATTTGAAAAAGGCAAGTCTATAGTATAGTCACATTTAAACATGCAATCCTCTCAAAACTTCATTGAACACTACATTCATAAACTTGTTTGTTTGGTGTCCTTGGCCATTGTGCAGTACCTTGATGTTCCTTGGATGGGTACATCTGGACAGAGCAACATATAGTTGCCCATGAGAGAACACAGGTGTCCTGAGGTCAAGACCCACATGTTGGACTGTCTGGCCTTGTGATTTGTTAACAGTCATTAGGGGAATTCACAGCACATTTTCATGCATCATTTTTGTGCTGTTTTAATTTTCATTTTGGACATGCCCACTTGAAAACAATGCAAAAATGGCACTTTGACATTTTCACAGATGCCAGTGCTGACTCAGCATGTCAGTCATCATTTCCCTGTCATACATGTTATACCACATACATATCATATCCTTTTAGTAGATTTCTTCCATATATATGCCCTGTAGTATTAAGCCAATGTTATCTCTGGTGACTCCACCCCAGAAAAAAGAGCCAAAGAAGCCTGCTAGTCATGGCAGAACAGTAGCCCCAAGCACACCTCTTGATGGAGTTGATGACAAGTCTGAAAAAGAGGACAGAGCAACTGGTGGGTGGAAAAAGTGTGGTATTCTTGTACCATAAGTCCATTCAGGTCCTGCTAGACAAGCTATTGATTGGTGGCAGATGGAAAAGGCAGCCTGAGCTCACAGATGAGCTGCTCACTCTTGTTGAGAGTAATATGAAGTGGATGGTGGCTTTTGGCTTTGACAAGTCATCTGCTAGCAGCAGGCTCACTATCATTGAGTGCTGTGGCCAGATTGCCTGGGCCCTGCTCATTACAGACAAACCTGGCACACCATTTGGACCAGCAAATCTGAAGAAGCTGATGGAAGCTGTGAAAAATTGTATTTCAAGGTGAGTCATGTAACTTGGTTCATTTGATGATGTTCTGAGTGTTCATTGGCCTTTGCACAACCTACAATGACTACCACAAGCAGCTTGGTGAGACTGGGCATGGTCTTATTGTTTCAGACCACAAACATGAAATTACACCTGGGTCTGAGATCACAAATGTTTACAGTAAGTGTTGGTAGGTATTGACAGATGCATGAGCTTGCAGGCACTAGCCCTGTAGCTAGTTGTGTAGCCATATCCAACAGTACTTCATCTCTTGACCTCTCTGTTCTTGACAGACTTGAGAATGATGCTGATGTCTTTGACAAAGGTGGAGACATCACTGAGGTATTTTGTTACTATGTACATGTGTGATCCATAACTGATTTGATGTGATCAAATGTTCTAGAGTACTCCCCATGACTCATCACCATTGAACAACTCCCATCTTGGGTCTCCTGGGTTTGATATTGAATGGCCACCTAGTGAGGGGGAGGTGACTGCCCCACTGTCCATTCCTGAGCCCAAGGCAAAGCTCACAGTGAAACACCCTGCATCACCCTGCACAGGCCACTCTTCAGTCAAGAGGAAAAAGACCACACAGGAGCTTGCACATGAGATTGTGGAAGGTGAGCATGCAGCTCAACTGCAGATAAGCCTCAATAGTGCAAAGGAGAAGACTAGATGGGAGTGTATCAAGAGGGAGACTGCACAAGAGATGGCACTTGAGATTGAGCAGCTCTGTCTCAAGCATCAGCAAGAGGAGGGGGATTGTCAACACACATGAGCTCATGATGATGGACAGGCAGATTAGGCTTGAGGAACTCTGAGCTGGGTTGGGTTCTACTAGTATCCATGCTTCTGTTATTGATCCCCAACTTTCTAAATAGCTTCTTCATCACTGACTATACAAAAATTCAAATAGGCATTTCTTTAATTCTTCCCTTTTAATTTTCCCCTCCAATAGTGCAATATCCCTTGACTCTTCATGTTCATCCTCCATTCTCCCTGCATTTTCTTCACTTTCACCATACCATTCAGCATACTGTTGGGCCTCCTTCTCCATAATTTGAATCCCATTACAATAGAATGAGTCAGTTGAAGTGTTAATGCCCATTTCATGCCCTGTTGCAAATGCATGCAGATGGATACATGAGATGATCCTCATTGTTGATGTTGACTTGGAATCCATGAAGAGATGACTAGCAACCTTTAAGGAACCCAACACAATGCTCAGAATGGATATGTATCCTTGAGACATAATAGTTGTGAGTCTTGTTCTCAGGGATATCCTTTTCTGGCCTAGAAAAATAAGATGTGCCACAGTATTGCTCAATGCTGGCAGCTTACTTTTTGTAGGGTGCTTGGCACCAGGTATGCAGGGGATATGCAGAATCACCCCATGTGAATTCTCCATCGTCCAATGAGATGTTGTGGTCCTTTGCAATGTGAGTATCAGAGAAAGCTGTTGCATCATGCTGACTACCTGGTAAGCCAACAGCATAGTCAATGATCTGAAGATCAGGGGTTGATACAATCTTGAAAATATTAAGAGAAGGAGTCAAGGATCAGTTGAAAAGATGACATACCTGAACATTGAGTGAGTAATTTGACTTCTGATCAAACCAAGTATTTCCATAAAAACCAGGTCAGGCATGCAAAGGCACCAAGGTCCCATCAACCATGCACCAACCATCCTGCCATGCAGGGCAGGAGTGCTCCTCCACCCAGGCCTTGGCTTTCTCCTTCATGTCATCATCAGGCCAGTGAAGTGCAGATCTCCAAAACCTTTCTGAACACACTGCTGTCATAACACAATTAGTCACCAGGTATACTGTACCATAACCAATGCCAGCCCTAAGGGCACCTTTTACTGTTGTTGCACCATTCCCATAGTGCTGAAACCTGGTCTTGAACTGACATCTGCTCTGAAGTTGACTGGTTGTGAAAAACTGGATCCTCTTGAAGAGCCTTGACTAGAAGGTCAAAGCATGTTGGAGTGACACTGAGATGGGATCTGAAAATCTCAGGGTGATTGAATTTCCAATTGCCAAGAAGCAACTCCAAGTTGGCACTTGTCTTTTTGATGGGTTGATGATTGGCCAGGTAATGCTGCAAGTACAACCCTGGAAGGGCATTCAACACAGCACTACTGGCTGAGGGGGCACCATGCAGGTGTTCATCAGATGATTCAGAGCTTGCACTCTCAGAACCACTGGAATTGGAGTCAGAAGAGGTTGGGGGATCAAGGTATGAGTGAGATTCAGCAAGTAGAGTAGCCAGATAGACATCAAGAAGGGCTTCTGCAGCTTTCTGCCTTTCTGTGGTGCAAGGCATATGGTTTCTGATGACTTTTTCAAGATAATTAACACATTTTATCTACATATATTCAAACCTTGAAAACTGCCAAAATGAAGACAAAATGGGGGATATCAAAGCAAACTGCCATTTTTGGCCTTACCCAGTCAACAAAAACAAAATGAAAACAGCATCAAAAATGATGCACAAAAATGTACTGTGAATTCCCCTATTGAATAGGCCATATGAACAGGGAATTGCAGGTGATGCAAGGGTATTGGGAAGTCATCTGAATTGGTATCCAAAGCCATGTGAGGAATCAACACCATGTCATTGTTGGCATCTCCATCCCTTTCCTGCAACACACAGCACTCCAGTATATGATGGGTAGATCTGATCAAGTGCCATTACAATAAAGGCCATGGATAGGATCCAGATTGTGAAGAAGCATGAAGGGAGCACCCAGCTTCAACTCCAACTCATGAAGAGGGAACCCCGATGGATCTAGTGTGTTCAACACCTCCTTTGGAATGTAATCATACTGGTTGTCAGTAACAGGGTCTGCACTTTTGTACACAACCTTGTCCCCATGAACTTTACCCAGGATGGTGGAGTTGATCTCCCTGACTTCAGTGTTCCTGGAAGATAAAATGGTGTGGTCCAGGAAGTACTGATCCTGCAGAGGCCAATTGTGATGAGGGGCCAGCAAGTCTCCATACATGGCATTGATGAGGGAGTCCAAGTCACCACCACAGGACATGTGTTGTGGGAGTTCTATATCTCCATCTGTCACACATATGTGCAGCAGCTGCCCTTCCTGTTGGTCACATTCCAGATCCCTTCCAAGTCACATATTTTGATGGAGGTGATGGATCTGAAGTCTGGACCAGAGGTAGGAATGACATAGAGCAGCACCCACTATCTGTTCTCTGGATCCATGATGGACAACAGGGAGGGTTTGTCTCAAGTCACCCCTGAAGAGAGTGGTGACACCTCCAAATGGATGGTCCCACAAGAGATTGTGAAGGGTATGATCCACACACTCCACCACATGCTGATGTTGAGTGGGGACCTTGTCCCAAATGATGAGTGAAGTCTGTTGGAACAGCTGATGGTTAAGATCATCCTTCTTGATGCTGCAAGAGCTCCCCTCATGACAGGGAATAGGTATCTTGAAATGGGAGTGTGCAGTATGACCACCAGGGAGAAGGAGAGAGGCCAGGCCTGTGGATGCAACACAGAGGACAATCTTGTTTCTGGCACAAACAGAAGCAGCAATGAGCTTGGCAAGGTATGTCTTTCCACAACCTCCTCCACTGTGCACAAAGAATGAGGACCCAACTGGCTGTTCCATGGAAGCCATGACTGCATCAGAGAGTGCCCTCTGTTCTCCATTGAGGGTGGGAAGACCAGCCTCCACAAAGTGATAGAGATCTTGCAGGTCATATGCTCCCTGCTCAGCAATGAGGCAGTTCCCTTCATCAATCTGCCACTGCCTCTGTGGCCTGGGCATGGTGGGGAAGTTGTCAAGAGATCATCCATTCCTCCTGAGATCTTCTGTGATGAGATGAAGGCCATGATCAAATATTTGCTCTTTGGTGGGATTTTCAATGTGGAGATTTTGGATGTTTGAAATCATTGCCACAATCTTGCACATCCCCAGAACATGGTATTGGACAACCATGGGAAAAGTTGCACATGGTTTTTGGCATACAAAAGCAGAAGTGTTATATTACTTAGCAAAATTAGTGAAATACATGAAATACACAAAATAGTCAGCAACTATTGGCGAAGGTTTGGGTTCTCCCTTAAATATATGAATATAATATGAATAAAATAATGAATAATGAATAAATATGAATAAAATGAATGATAAATATGAATAATAATATGATGAATATGTTTGATCTCCGGGTCACGCGCTTTTGATGCGGGGTTCTAATCTCCAGTCGGAGCTTCAATGATCACACACAAATTCACAACTCAGCCGCACTTGAGTTTGCTCGCGCGCTCTTTCCACATTTAACTTTGAGCCGCTCCATGTACTAAAGGTCTTCGCCCCCCACTGCTGAACTTGTCCAAAGCAGTCGCTGACCAGGCTCTGCGCTCTTCTTGCTGAACAAACGCGTATTTCTTTGGTTTAACTATGGAGGGAACAGTCACGCCGCCGCCGACGAAGCCCGCCACGCCTGACACCCTAACTAGGCCGAAACAGACGTCGTTGGCGGGTTATCGCTCGGGAAACCTCGCTCTCAGCAGGACGGCTGTCCTCAATGACCTAGGTGCAATCCCTCAAGTATCATTGGATTATTTCAAGTCTGCTGCCCTGCCACCCCTTCATGCAGAGATCGGCATCGCCGAAATCAAGACTTCGCTGGAGGCCTCTCAGGTTTTGTCCCGAGACTCGGGGTGGACTGCGTTTAAGAAGGAGCCGAAGGTTTCGGGTGTATCTGAGGAGCAGGCGTTTGGACCCCTTTCGGCGGTTTTTGAGGCAATCGTCAGCGAGGCTGGCAGAGTCGCGCACACCTCGGCAAGGCTTGAGTTTGTATCACGACCTGCACATTCGCCACGCTCCGATCGCTCCAATTCGACTCGCCCGGATGCGTACTTGCTGCTAGTGGAGAAGAAGAGTGTTGGCGTGCAAGAGGCCAAGAAGAACGAAGCCGAAGGCTCCGATCACGATTCATGGGACGATATCGCCGTTTCGTTTGAGTTCAAAAAGGGTGACGGGACTGCCGAGCGCGAAGACGTGAGTGACAGCTACGCTTCTATTCGAGCATCGCTAATTTGGTATGATAGGATGACAAGAAGGTAATATGGAGTCTGCACCATATTATGCGTAGCGACCCATGTCGCCGCGCGACATTTGGTGTTACCATCGAGAACACACAAACGAGGTTTTGGTTCACTTGCCGGGCGGTCACGCTCGTCAGCAAGTCGTTCAATTTCCTTACCGTTAGTGGTCACGTCGTCGACTCTATTGCCGTTCGTGACTGACTCTCTCAACAGGAGCCAGAACACCTCATCCACTTCTTCTGTGCCCTCGCGTTTGCAAAAGACCACGAGCTCGGATGGGATCCAACGATCCGGAGAGTGTGCGTCGAGGGTAAAACTCAATACATCATCACTGTGCATTCAGAAAACGGGGGAACCATCGAATACCAAACCACGAACGTCATTTTCGATTTCGGCGCCGATGGTGTGACGGGTCGTGGGACTCGGGTCTTCGAAGTCTATCCTACGCCTCGAGATGGAAAATTGGACGCGGAACCCGTCGTACTGAAGGATTCTTGGAGAGAGTGTGACCGAGATCGCGAGGATAAAATCCTTCAAAAAATATTTGGCGACTTGCGGGAGCTGAAGGGCATCGAGGCAGAGAATGAGGCTAGAAAATATTTTCTCACTGTCGTTGAAGCAGGAGACGTGATTGTGAATGGGACGGTCGATGGCACCGCCAGCCTTCTACACGCATCCGATCTACCAGCTGACTGTCCTTCATATGCGCTACCTGTCGATGGTAAACGGAAGGCGAAGCCGACCAGGTCCAGCGAAGGACTCCCACCAAGTTTTTCTTGCGTCTCGGGTGCCACCAATCATTCGAAAATCCATCACAGGATCCATTTTCGTCTGGTGTTCCAGGAAGTTTGCACGCCTATATACAAACTTCAGCGCCTCGATACCGTGTTTCAGACGCTGCAAGATATTCGTAAAGGTTTGCTAAGTTGTATGATGAGCTTTCGCTGGAGGCTTATATATAATTATCAGCTTTGGAAATTTTGCACAGCGTAGATTGGGTGCACCGTGATGTCAGTGCCGCAAACTCTTTACGCGCGGGCGAGGTGGGGAAGTTAGCTGACCTGGAGTATGCAAAATGTATGAATGCCCCAAACAGACACGAGATCCGCACGGTAAGTCGATATCTCATCCACCCATGCACTTTCAGAGACGTGTTAAAGGGAACCGTGAATTTCATAGCTTGCGAGGTTGAAGGTCAAACATACCTCTTTAAGCCACCTGGATTTTTCGACGAAGTCTGCAGTCCCCCATTCAGGTTCAATCCCCTGCACGATATGGAGTCTTTGTGGTGGATTCAAACGTGGATACTCTATTACCATGTTGACCAACCGCGCAGCCAACGGTCGTCAAAACAGGAGGATTACTCAAAGAACCTCTTTCCCGGACAGCTCAAGGTTCGTTTCTACGAGTTTTCCGACAATCTGGACCTCCGCATCCTTCCGCCCCGTTTTAAGCCTGCAGGTCGACAGGTTGCAATGATGCACGGGGAGCTTAAGCTAGCCTACATTGAAAGTGAAAAGTGCTTGCCGCAGGAGCCACTGGCCTATGTCGCTCCACTTGAAAGTCTCCACGCCATTTTTAGAGAACACCTTGCGACTGCTGTTGAGGACTCTAAAGATGTCATTCTTTTTATCCCGACGGATAAACGGCCAAATCCGGAAGACTCAACCCATGAAACTCGAGGCGAAAAACGACCCAAGGTTTGAACCTTTTCAGATCACCACTGACTGCTGACATCATGTTTCTTCCTAGGTGGACTGATCGAACATCGTCCAAATGTCGCGACTCTCCAAGCCCATGACACTACTTGAAATATCAATAAATGCTTACTGTACTATCTTGCATATGAATCCTGCTTTTCCCACCACTTTCCCTTGTTTAGTAGTCCCTTGCTTGTGCTTAAGGTTCCAGCTCATCGAGTCATCAGAGAAAATGTACTGGTCGACACATCATGATGACCGTTCTTAGTAACACCATAGCTGAAGTGAATCGCGAGACCAGAAGCAGCAGTAGTGAAGGGTTCGCTGGAGACGATGGATAGACACAAGAGTATGTCATGGTTCGAGAGAAACTGGTAGATCGTAAAACAGAGAGCAGAAAGACTACCATTTATCAAGGTGTGGGGTGAGCTTCCAAATCCTCTACACACACAAGATTGGACAACTGCAGTGACCAGATCCCTGAGATGCTGAGCATGGGATGCACCTTTGCTGGCTCATGTATTGCAAAAAAGTAAAGTGCCATGACAATCCTGGTGGCTTGTCATGTGACTGAGATGCCTAATTCAATGGCATAACAATGGCAATGTAATGATATCTTATCTTGTCTTATCATATCAATGCCATAACAATACTCCATTCAGTATTTGGATGTGTACCTTAAGCCCAATGAATCATTGCAAGTGCATGTGACATGATCATTATTGATTTTCTGATCTAACTTATCAATTACATATCATAATATTATGGGTTGTTTTGGACCCAAATCAGCTTTGCCCATTGCCTTCCATCCACCATGCCCCCACATCAAAATTACCAGCAGTCAAAAATGTTGTCCACTAAGCAACCTTGCAAGCACTGCAGTAATCTCTATCTACCACAAGGAATCAAAAAGCACAAGACCAGTTGTGTGAAGGAGCATGTGAACTGCAAAGAATGAGACAAACACAATAAGGCATACATATGAGATGTTTGTTGAAGTAAGTCAATACCTTTCCCCCCTCTCATCTGTCCATTAATCTACAATGGTTGTTTACTAGCTGAAATTGCCAAGGAAGCAGTTGCTGCTACATCCACATCATTAGTGCACCCTGGCATCACTGGGTCTTTGGGCTCTGCAGTGGCTGTAATACCAGCACCACTCAGGCAGCTGTCAGTGGGCCCTTCACAATCAATTCCTGGTACATAGACCACCTTAATGTTGCTCTTGAGGCTTACACTTTGCAAGACAGGATCACCAACTGGCTTTGCTCTCCATGAAGATGACATGTTGATGGGTATGAAGAGTCCTTGTGGTAGGAATATACCAGACTCAGGTAAGTTTAGAACATTCATCTCTAACTGAAATTCAACTAATCTCCTGTTGTTTGTGATGAATCTCAATTCTGACATGTCAATCACAGCCCAAGTGGTGGGTCACTCAGTGAACTCCACTGTGCTGGATGTCCAAAACAACCATTGTCCTGAATTCAAGACTGGATTTCATCCCCATAGCAAGTGCCCAACACTTTTCCAATCTGCCAAAAAGTTTGGCCAGCAAAACCTCAAATACATGGCCCCAGACTGTGAGCCCTGGTGCCCTTTTGCTTCAGAGGGTGATTACATTTTTGCTACTGTTGCCATTGAAGCTGGGCTTAGCTCAACTCAGGTCAATTCCCTTCTCAAGTTGATTCATTGTATATGGCAAGGAACAGCAAGCATCACACTGCATAATGATGCTGGGCTTTGCACCACTTTGGATAGAGTGGTGGCACAACTAACACCAGTAAGTTGTTTATTTCCAGTGTGCTTTTGACAAGTGGCTCACTTCCCAGCCACTTATCAGTTTTTGAAGTTTGAAATTGCTGTGCCCTATAAGGGCAGTGACATGACATTCCCCATCCACATCTGCCCTCTGTGGGACTGGGCCCTCAATTTATTGCAAAATCCTTTTCTTGAACCACACTTTGTCTGGGATGCTGAACAGGTCTTCAAACTTGATAGTGAGATGTATGAATGCTTCTACACTGAACCTTGGATGGGCAATCATTGGTGGGATATTCAAGTGCATTGTAATTAATATTATTTCATACCATTGTACTGTGTAAATTCACTGTGTTTCTTCCTGTTATGCAAATGAAGTCATGGTTACCCATGCATGCAGAGAATTCTGTTCCATTTGCATTTATTCTTTATGCTGACAAGACACAGCTGTCATCTCATGGTACTGTCAAGGGTTATCCCATGGTAGTGATTTGTGCCAATCTCCCAGTTCACATTTGCAATGGTGAACAATACAGTGGTGGCTGTGTGGTAGGCTGGCTTCCAATTGTGAGTATGATATCTCTTCGTTTTAGAGTAATAAATTGATCGAACAGGTTTTTGCAGGTTCCTGAGCTTGTGAGTGAGGAGAGAAAGACTCGCTATGTAAATTTCAAGTGTGTCATCTGGCATGAAGCCTTCTAAAAGCTCCTTGAGAAGGTTGCAGAGCTCTCAAAGGTTGGGCTACCTGCATGAATGCTATGACAACATTCACCAGTGACTCTTTCCAGTTATTCTTATCTTGTCAGCTGACTATGAAGAACTGTAAGCACTATTTTGTCTGCAAATCAATTGTACTTATGAAACCCAGCCTTTTTAGCTGTGTGATGATGCTTATACAAGGCACGAAATGCAAATTCCCATGCCCATTTTGCCTAGTCCCTTTTGAGGAGTTTTGGGACTTATCGAAGACCTATGAAATGCACACTACCAAGCAACATCAAGAAGCACTGGTGTTATATGAGCAGAAGAAGTCAGCCAGTGAGAAGAAACTGAAATCTCTTGGGTTACATCCCATCAAGGTAGGGCTTCAACATACATAATCTATGTTTATGACTGACAGAATGTATGATAGAACATCTTTTGGTTGGTAGAACACTCAGAGCCTGAACAGGCTGCAAGCTTTGAGCCACTTCACTCCCTGCATGGTGGCTTGGGAGGCAAGCACATGCATGAGGAGCTCAAGATTGTTGTCAATGAACTTGGCCATGATTTTGAGACATGTTTAGAAGAATGGTAAGACAATTCAATTGGGCTGTGGGGCTGTCTGACTATCACTCAGGGTTTCTGCCTTTCCCCATTGGTGAGGCCTCACACATTTTGATACTGTAATCCACATCACATTTTCTGACAGAAACAAAATGTGAGATCTCACCAGGGTAATCTAATTAGGATGTGTGTTTAAATGTGGTTAATGATCTGGAATAACAGTGTTTCTATGCTGCTCTCAACATTTTGATGTCCACAACATCTCAAGCTGGGTACCAGTTGCTGCATATGATCTGCAGTTACCTACAGCTTGAAACTCTCATCAGGCTTGACATACACACTGAGGCAACCCTTGGAATGATTGAACATGAACTTCTCATTTTCAGGGGTGAACTCAAGGTATTCCACTCCTTTGGTTGTCCATTATCACACAATGATTGTTGGAAATAGGCATACCAATCCCATGTTCATCATTTGCATGATACAGGCCTCAAGGACAATTGGAACTTTCCCAAGGCACACCTCTGGAAGCATGTTACCCATGACATTCAGAGCAAAGGCACTGTTCATAATTACAGTGCTTGGCCAAATGAGAAGATGCATGGTCTGCTCAAAGATGCATACCAGGATTGTTCTAATGGAAAGGATGTTGCAGGGCAGGTGCATATCAAGTCCTTACTTAGAGATGTTGTTGCATGATGTTTCATTTAGATTCTCTGTATTGACCATCATCAATTTTCAATAAAACTCATTCAAGCATGAATTGATGCAGGAAACAAATGTGTTACTCATTTCACTGATGATTGTGACAGAAATGACAACAAGGACAATGATGAGCCATTTGAAGGAAACACCAGGCTCAGTGCACCCCAGCAACCTAGCTCACTTTCTGATGTTGAGAACACTCACTGGGATGATCAGGCATTTGAGGGATTTTGTCAGAGGCTGGAAAATTTCCTCAATGCTTGCATCCCCACTTATGGGTATCCCCTCAATGCATGGATATGATTACAAGGAACAGATACAGTATGTCCTACTTTCTCATCTGTATACAGACTGATCCCCTGGCATTCCCCTCAAGGTCTGGGAGTATCAGTATTTGAAGGTTAGCTACACCTCAGTGGTGGACTGGAAGGTCACTGTGAACCACATCAGATGTAGTCCAAGTTTCCATGGTTGGCCACAATATGATTGTGCTCTCATTCAACTTTCAGAGACCAAGGCTGCCTTTGTTCAACTCATATTTGTGTTCACTTGCAAAATTGCAGCATTTGAGGATGTTTTTCAGTTTGCACTCATTCAGCCACTCATGGCTGGGACCAGAGTGCACAGGTTGGACCAAGATTTCTGACTTACCCAAGTCAAAGCCATATCCTGTGCAGCATTGATATTCATTCCCATAAAGTCAATCATTCAGGGCATGTTGCTTGGTCTGGGTTTGTGTTGCTCGATGCAACATGTTTTACAAGACAATGGGCAATGAGCACAGTCCATGCATCTATATGGTGCCCCTTCTGCTTTGCACACAAAACAAGCCATGACATTGGGCAGGGCCTCCATGTCCAGGAGCACAGACAGGTATCTACTCTTATAGGGCAGCCACTCTTCCAGATAACTGTTCTGTAATACCATATGGCACACATTGCCAACACTGGGATGTTTGATAATGCACACCTGGCTTTTTGGAATTCTTGATGTCCTCAGTGGTGATGCATCATCCATGTAGCAATATAGGTCAGCATCATTACCCTGGACTAAATTGGGTTCCTAGATGCTCAAAGATCCTGCCCTAGTAGGTGATTCATTGCTTTGGCTGGTTGCATATCTTGCCTTCTTTCTCAGAGTAAACTTGACCATCTTTTCTTTGGATCCCCTGGTTGTTTTCACCTTTTTCCAAGTGAGATGGGTTACTGGGGTGGCCACTGCAGCTTGGGTGATTTGTGACTTGCCCATGTCTAGTATCAAGTCCTTGCAGGATGTCTGCAGGCCTCAGCCATAGATGCCTCATTGTGATGCCTGGCATGACTATGATTTGAGTTGGATCTCAGAATCAATGTCAGAAGATCCAATTGGGATCAAACTATACTTTATCTATATATAGTAGCAGACTGGATGATAGATGAATTGGCTTACCATGTTTGGCCATGGTACTGATCAACTGGAACAAGACCATACTAACAATGGGTATGTATCATGACTGGAACATTACTTGGCCCCTGGAACTTTATTCAAGAATGGGTGACAGTAACTATGAGGAACAGACTCCAAATTTTCTTTCAACAGAGGGTAACATTACCTGCAACTAACCAACCCCAACACCTTCTCCAACATTCAGAATGGCCAGCAGTGATCACAGTACTAATTGTGTTAATACCTCAGATGAGGAGGACTTTTCCTCCAATGAGGAATCTAGCTCAGATAGCATGGAGACAACAAAATCTGTGCTGGGAAAGCTGAGACTGGATGAACTTCAAATCCTCCAAGATGGTCCAAATGATTGGAAGGAAGCTGACACAAACAAAAGGGCCTCACTGATGGAGGGCATGTGGAACAAAATTAAACAGCTGGATGCCAACAAGAGCCTCAAACAAAATGAATGGAATAGAAAACGGACAGTAAGCTTGATGGTTTTGATGTGCTTGCAGTCATGTTAAGTATATTTTACAGGCCATCAAGAACTGGATGTATAACAACAGTTGGTCCTGGGCACAGAAGGCCCTGGTCAAGTATGGCTCCAAATGGATGGCCCTAAAGGAGATCAAGCTGCAGCATAAGAAGGATATCCAGCAAGTACTTGTGAAGGCCAGAATACATCCTGGGATGTCAGCTATGATCAAACACTATCGGCCAGCTGTTCAGAAGGTAGTCCAGTCATTGACCAAGGCTGAATTGGACCAGGCAGCCCATTTGGTGAAAGAGTGGAATGAGAGAAAGCTGCCACCCAAAGCCCAGGCAGAGTAAGCATCCAAGTTCTCCCATGGGCAATACTAACTTAAATGCAGGGTGGCAACAAGTAAGGGCCAGAAGTATGCAAAACAGTTTGCATATGACATGTGGAAGCAGTGTGGGATGAGAGTGGTGATCATGTTGGCATGGAAGGATAAGGAAGGCAAAGTGATGGTTGGAGTGTGAGTGCTTTCCTGACAGGCTTCACCATATCTGACCAGTGTAGGAATGACTTCAATGATGAGCTGGGCGATGGAGAGCTCTATTCAGATTGGGCAGACCTTCATGGAAAGTGGTCAGCCTATGCAAAGAAGGCCTTTGGGGCCAATGGTACAGAGGATGGCAGTGGAGAGGATGAGGCCAGTCAAACCACAGTAAAAGCACAGAAAGGAAAAAAGTGGTCTCAATTCTCCCTGTCCACCAATGTCAATGGCATGCCCATTCTTCCAAATCTCTTGGACTTATGGACACTGGAATTAAAGGACATCATGAGGGTGTTTGTAACCAGCCATTATTGTACATGCCAATTTCCATGGTTGATGAGCTACTAACATCTAAACACAGGCTTGGCTTGTGGGAAGATGAATGCCAGTGTACCTTGGGCTGCAATAGCTGACAACTGGGCATCCTATGTGTCTTCCAAGTATCTTCCTCCCAATATCCCATTCAAAGAGCCCACAAGGCTGACACATCATGAACTAATTGAAACCTTGGAGTTCTGGAAGGAGCAACAGCAGGAGCACCCAGAAGATGTCTTCCAGTTCCAAAGGTGGAGATCTCAGGATGGTTCCCTGGAGGAGCTGGTCACCAAACACCAACACTGGTCAGACAAAGCCAAAGGGAAGAGACCCTGGATGGAAGGTGAGGTCATGATCAATTTGGATATACATAACTGATCACACATTAAGTAAATTCCATTGATGGCTCTGACTATGGACATCACTTGGAGGAGGAACCAGCTCCTCCCACAAAACCTTCCACCAAATGGCAATGGATAGATGGTATGTCAGAGCTGGTCAGATTCTTTACTGGTAATCCTAACATGACCTTGGAATTGTGTGCTGAAGATCATCCCACTGGAACATCCAATGCACAGGAGGATAACAGACAACAGAACCAGTCCACATCAGACCAACACAATACAGCTACTGCATACCCCAAGCCAGCTGGTAAGTGGTATCTGGTGACAATGAATATTGCTGATAGAATTGTATCAGACAATCATGCCAATGATGGTGGTGATTCAACTGCAAGGAAGCCCAAGCCCAAGCCAAGAATCAGATCCAATGGTCAGTTTCCATGCACACTTGGTTAATCCTCTCATTACAGCATTCTACAGCAGCCCAGAATGATAAGATGGTCATATCACCTAATGATCATAGGTATACATCAATAACACAATTACACACACTTATCATCTGGTGGGTAGGAATTCAAATGCCAGGCCTAGAGGCCATGCAATGGACAGGGAAGATAGACTGTTGGATCAAGCAGAAGAGGATGGTGTGGCTCATCACCCAGAGTGGAATTGTAGGCCCCCATGGCAGCCAGATGAGAATTATCCTACTCCAACCATGAGGAGGCGAAGGTAGAATTGAGGCTGGTACCTAATGTTTTCCAGTAGACTGGTGACAACCATATATAGTGCACAGTGCAAGAATCACTGGTGAATTACTGGCCCCATAGCTACCATGTACCATAACCCACTGTCACAATCCAATTGCAGCCAATTTGTGCACTTCTCCAATTCCATTCAACATAATGTTCATTGAAATGAGTTAAATATACAAATTAAAGCTGGTCTGGTTTAAGACAGATTGGCATCATGTGTGGCATTGATGTCTGGCTGACATGCCCCACTCCTAGCCATGATACTGGAGATCTGCCTTGACATTTGAACTGGTAGACATGTTTAGCTATGGTTGTGTAGGAACTTCTGGACTTACACTCAGTTTGTGGAGTATCAACTCCCAGCTGTATGGTGAACTCCTGGGAGACTGCTAAAAGCTCCAAATGTGACAATGGGATTGGCACCAGTGATGGGGATCTAGCTGGTGGTATCGATGTGGAGCTGAGTGATGCAGGAGCATCTGAAAGGTTCATAGGTTGATGAGGACCAGGGAAATTGCTGCTGGGTGATGTGAATGTTGTTGGGCTGGGAACTGGGATAGGATTGCGACAGGCTGGTGACACAGAGGGAGTTAAGGACCAAAATTGGGGCTCATGCAATAGGATGAATGGTTGTGATGATTGGCCAGCTGCTTGAGTTGGGTAGATGTAAGCTGATGATCTTGTGGCAGCAGGTGACTGAAATGCCAGTTCTTGTAAAGGACTGACCAGTGGGGACTGAAATGGTGGGGGCAACCCCCAAGGTGGCTCATGCAATGGTGTACCTGGGGCAACAGGTGGTGGTGATTTGTCCCATGCCAGCTCAAGTAACAGGGTGCTGTCAGAGAGGCATGTTGATATGGAGTCCCAAGGAGGCTCAACCAATGGGCTGCTAGAGGAGGGAGACAGTGCCAATGACTCCCATGCTGGCTCTATCAAAGGTGATCTGGCCAGCTGGTAAGTGAAATTGCAGCCATGATATCCATTCCTGACATCTATGTAGGGAATGGTCTGCATGGTTGTTGAACATCTACCCCTGGCATTCAAGATCCCTCCACATCTTATTGCTATTGATATGCACATGGTTGACCTGGCAACAATCTTTGCCATGCAGACATGGCTGCCTTTCAACCAGATGATGATGGCATGAGAGGCCAATGTGAAGGATCATGCATGGTATCACCTTTGTCACCAGCCCAAGTCTTACCCATATTACAAGGTCATGGAGGAGCTTACCAGGCCTTTGTTGAGGGCCAAGCACCAGACACAGCTGGTGGATAAGGGGAAGGGGAAAGAGTTGGGTATGGATGAGGCTCAAAGGATTCAGCTTCTGAGTGAGCACTAATTCTGAGGATGGCAATTGGGTAGACCACTGATACAGGATCCAAAGATGCACCCACAGACACTATGGCTAGGACCACTGGAGTTGCAATGCAGAAGCCAGGAAATGAGGAGGATCAGAACAGGGAGAAGGCATGGGGCCATAGCCAGTCAAGACATGGCTGGCCAGCAGCCAAGCCTGTTGATGCCAGTGATCAGACCAGTAGAGGCTGGAGCTGGTCAAGGAGACCAACGAAGAAGGCAAAACCAGCAGTCAATGAGGATGTGCAGGACCAGCAAGACATCAACAACCCTCCTGAGTCCTGGGAGGTAGTGCCAGAAGCTGAGCAGTGTGTGAGATGCTGGGACAGGAGTTGGCCTGGTATGGTGCTAGCTGGCAGGGCATGCTGGCAATGCCACTGTACCAAATACTCATGCAGCTTGTTCAAGGGGAGGGGAGACAAGTCTGAGATGCAGCAAAAAGCCTCCTGTTCAAGGCCTTGCTGGCAATGATCCCCAGAAGACATGGCTGGCCTTCCCACCACTTCAATGCTGGCTGTACCAGCTCCATCAACCAGTTGATGAGCCAAATATCAAAGGGCACCAAGCTGAAATCAATCTGCCAGTCCATCCAAAGTAACAAGCTGTCATTCATCTCATGGCCCACAGACTGGCTGCCCCAGTAAGTTATTCATAGTCCTATGTTTTTCACTAATTGGTTGAACTAATATTACTATTGAGTAGTGGAAATTATTACTCCATCATGGCTATCCTGGTCACAGTCTCATGCAAGAAGTGTTGCAACAGACCCACCCATCACTCAGTGCCAATGATCCATGCCATTGTGATGAGTATCGGGCAGAGGTTACCATCCTCAAGCAGGAGAATGCTGACATAAGGTGGGAGATAGAAGTAACCTGTACTGAGCTTGCTGCTCTCCATCAGGTGGTAGATGCTATCTGTAATCACCTATTCCTGGCCCCAGACATGCTTAACCATCATCTGGTCCCATTTCATGCTACTTCCAACCCTACACTGGTACCTCACATGCCAGTCATGGTGGAACTTGGCACTGCAACTGGTGTTGTAGAGGTACAATCATCCCAAAGCAGCTCAAGACAGGAGTCCACTGAACCCCCCCTGGCTTCATTCAAGGGAGGTGCTGGCTTGGAAGTACCTCCTTTGAATGTTGAACCTGTGCATGGACCTGCTGGAGGTCTGGCAATCTCTATTACTCCACCACCACCAGCAGTCAGATCAGTGCCTGGACAGGAAGGTAGGATGGAGGTCAACTAACATCAATGTACTTGTCATTTTGCAATCCATTTGTGTTTTTTTGTCTTTGTACTTGTACTTTGTTAGATGCAGCAATATCTTCTATATTGTCAACATGTGATCTCCAGGAAGAAGTAGCTACTGCTGCTGGTAATTGTTACTGTATGATTCAGATACTGGAAAACCAATCTGGTATGGTGATGTCTGTACCAAGGCTGTGGTGTTACAAGCACTAAGGGCCAATGGAGTCATGGTTCACCTAGATGATTGAATGATGACTGGCTGGCATAACTCAATTGTTTTTGCTGTATAGCATGATGGTGGCTGTCATGCTATTGTTCTGGCTTGCTGGAGGCTGTAAGGCATTGAATTCACAGTTTAAATGTACTGGGTAGTTGGCTAGTCTTCTGGTCATTACCAGAGCCACCATTGTGGTAATACATGCATCTCTGGCATGGTACTGGTACTGGTATGTACATACACCGTGGACCTGCTCCTGGGAGGTCAGGCAGGTCAGGCATGGCATGGTATGATTTCTGGGTGGGCTTCCATGGCATTGGCACTGGGACAGCTTGACTGATGGCCTCATGGCATTGGGGATGTGCTGGAACTCATTACAATGGTGCTGTGACAGCCTGCATGATGGCCTCATGGCATTGGGGATGTGCCAGAACATATGGCATAGGTGCCCAGATGGCTTCCACAGCATTGGTGTTGTGCCAGAACACATTACAATGGTGCTGGGATGGCTTGCATGATGGACTCATGGCATTGGGGATATGCCAGAATACATGGAACCAGTGCCAGGGTGGCTCCCATGGCATTGGTTTTGTGCCAGAATACATTACAATGGCATAGGTGCCAGGACAGCTTCCATGGCATTGGTTTTGTGCCAAAACACATTACAATGGTGCTGGAATGGCCTGCATGATGGCCTCATGGCATTGGGGATGTGCTGGCACTCATTACACAGGTGCTGGGATGGCCTGCATGATGGACCTGTGGCATTGGGGATATGCTGGAATACATGGAACTGGTGCCAGGCTGGCCTCCACAGCATTGGTCCAGTGCTGGTACACATTACAATGGTGCCAGAATGGCCTGCAAAATAGGCCTCATGGTATTGGGGATGTGCCAGAACACATGGCATTGGTGTTGTGCTGGAACACATTCCAATGGTACTGGGATGGCCTGTGTGATGGCCCCATGGCATTGGGGATGTGCTGGAACACATGGACCTGGTGCTGGTGCTGGCTCACAATACATTGGTGCCAGGACAGCTTCCATGATGGCCCCATGGCAGTGGCAATGTGCTGGAGCATGTGGCATTGGTGCCAGCATGGCTTCCATGGCATTAGCATTGTGCTGGTTCACATTAAATCAGTGCTGGTTGGGACAGCTTCCATGGCATTAGTCCTGGGTTGGTGTTGGCCTGGCTCACATTGCATTGGTGCTGGGATGCCTTGAATGGCATTGGTATTTTGTCTGCCCACATGGAATCAATGCCAGGACAGCCAGCATGGCATTGGTATTGGGCCTGTTCATATTGCATTGGTGTTCACCTGGCTCACATGGCATTCATCCCAGGATGGCCTGCATGGCATTGGTGTTGGGCTGGCTTGCATGACAGTGTTGCCAGGGGTGAACTCAGGGGCTGGGCCCATCCATACCTTCCAGGGACACCCAACTCTGGGCTTACCTGGGACTACTCATATTGCAGTGGCCACACCCTAATCCCACAGCTGGCTTGTACCCCATGATGACAATTCTAACCTCAGCCCAGCCATTCTCCATAATGACTCCTACTCTTGGGCTCAGCTGTATGCTATGGTGACATGTATTTATTGGGCTCTCCAATAGTCCATGATGACACTTACTCCCCAGCCTGCTTGTAACTGACAATAACAATTCAAACCACAGCTGCACCATTCCTCATGACAACATTTCCTCTTAGGCTCAGCTGTACTACATGGTGACACTCATCAGTTGGGCTCTCCCATACTACAAGGTGACAATAGGTTCATAGCTCTCATGTAACACATGCGCACAAGCCATACATGGGCTCAACCTCTGCTGGCTGATTGTCAGCCTCCACTGACCATCTCATATGGCCTAACCAGGTGCATGGGCTTGCTTTTTACTACATAGTAGCAATATATTATTATGTAATCACTTAACACCAACTTCATGCTCGATTTGTAAACAAGCAAGGAATTCAGTGCTTATTTCAAGTTACCTTGCTTGCAAGGTTTCTACCAGGGTCATAATTGCTGGACCCTTGGTCCAAGGGTCTTGGACCATCAATGTTCACACAGCAGTCTGGAAATGGAAAGAATTTCTGTGGTGAGTTGGTTCCCACACAATTATGACCCTGGTAGAAACCTTGCAAGCAAGGTAATATGTATAAGCAGCCTGACTTATGAAGTTCAGTTCTGGTTCCAATGAAAGTGCTATCAGACAGACGTGATGCAGGTCATATTTGATTTGACTCCTAGTTAATGGGGCATGCTCATGTGGCTGACTGATCACACTGTGGTGGTTTCAATGTTATCACATGCTCTAAAGAGTATTCCAAAGTGAAAATAGCATATTTTCTTATGAATCAAATTATGAGACTCTTGTAAATCTTGATTTCAAGCAAACATATAAAATTTATCCAAAGTCTATATTGTGAGAAATGTTGAGATGTGTATCCAAAGACAATTGGAAACTATATATTGCAAGAATGTCACAAGGTTATTGACAATAATATCTTCCTAAAAAGCTGGTAACAACAGTAAAAGTTGAAACTTGGAAATTGCTTCATAGGGATGCATGATTCAATATTACACAATCCATTCCGAGATTATCAAACATAAGATTATCTGCATCATCAAAAGGTGTTACCAAAGTAAATAACTAAATATCAGTTCTGAGATGCTCAGAAGACATTGGGCAGAGAGTGGGCCAATGATTGGCTGGTGACTGCCCAGTGATCTCCATATTAGGCATTCTTTTTGTATTTCCAATGCAATTAAGAATATCTAGGTGATGGTATGATTGACTAATCTCTAGTAATGGTACTGGAAGGAAGCATGCAACCCAGGCAGCATGTAATATAATGATGGGGAGTGTGCCCCCTTTGTTGTTATAGTTGTAGGCAAATTGACCATTCTAAGGGATACACCTCATTTGGTCATTTTCATGTCCAGAGGCATATCAACACAGCTCACAAAGGCAATGTCTATATACAGATCCTACATCTGTCTATATGATGTGATTATATGAAAGCACTGAAGGAATGTCAGTAAATCAATCATGATTAGGTTGAATGGCCTATCTTGCAGCATCAACAAGTCATGCAGCAATGACCAGGCAAACATCATATAATGGGAGCTGAGTCCCATTCTCTAATACCACCCCTTTCAGGGTTTTTTTAGTTTGACATTTACTGATGCAGTGAATTTCACCTTTGAGTGTGCCCTTCAGTATTAGGCAGTGCTGACCAGTCCTTGTTGGGTTGGTGGGAGACAAGCTGCATGCCAGAATAGTGTGATGTTTGATGATGGTGCTTGCAGTGCTTGAGGTCATGGTGGCCAACACATGCCTAGGAGGCACCACACCATGCTTCTCTGAAAAGAAATGATCTGGAATGGTGGTGTGAACCACTTGCTTGCCCAGGGTCCTGTGATTGTAGGCAAGCCTGACTCTCAAGCAGACATGCCAATTGCTGAAGTTACAGAAGTTGTTGTCAAAGAGCCAGGACATGCATCCTAAACAACAAAGTTAAGAAAATGTGTAGCAAGGGAGGGAGAGAATCAATGTACCATAGTCAATGCTCTGTTGCTCCTGCTCACTGCAACGTTGTGCATTGATATCATCAGGGGTGGTGACCCAGGGGTTGCTTGGACCTGGATCCACTGAGGGAGTTTCGCTTGGTGGTGGAGGTGGAGTGATGCTGCAAGGTTGAGATTCAGGTATGAAACTTCCCTGTCACATATGATTGAATGCCACAAAGTGTGAGGAACCTAGCAGTGTCCCATCAAGTAACATGCCAAATCTAAAAAGGAAATATCAGTGCATGACCCCTAGCAATGAAGTGACTTAGCTGGAGATGACTGCAGTATTTTTGAACATCATTGCACCAGAATGGATTGCAACTGTGCATGAAGTTTGGCCTACTGATCACAGTGTCCCACTGTATCCCTTATTCAGACCTGAGATGATCATACTTCACATCCAATATGATGTTCTGCATCACAAAGGGAGTAGTCCCTTAATTTAGCACAGAAGTTGATAGGGATGTCGCACTATGATGCCATTAGAGAGATGGGATGACAGGCAAAGTAGAACCACATACCCATGGAACATCTTCAGACTCCAGTGTAAGGGTTGTGGTGATCAAGTTGATGCTGTGAATGACCCCTTTGACATCCACAGCAGGACCACATATGACTTGTACTAGGTTGCCTTTAAAACATCCCACCCCTTCTTCTTTGAGAACTGCAGTGTTGGTCGAGCTGTCACTTGGACATTGTCCAAGCTGACAATGATCACTTCATCATCAGCCCCATTGCCATCACTGTCCTCACTGGGAACCTCTGGTACTTGAGCCTTGGACTTGCCCTTGTCCCCCTTGGCATCTTCATCATTGAATGCCTTTTCAATGTGCCACATGACCCATATTTGTCTGAGGCTGCAGGAGAAGTATTGCACTTGGCCTGTGAGGCCCCTGTAGGGTCCAGTGAGGATCCATACTGTGTCCCCTGGCTCTATGAAGTGCTCTTCAACTGGGGGATGGCATTGCGGTTGATCATGGGGGTCTCAGTTGGGATAGCTCAGCAGTGCTCTGTGCGATGCCAGGAAGATCATAGGGATGTCCATCTATGAGCAAGCATCAGCAAAGGATTTTACTCTGAATACCCTGACTTTCCTGTTGTCCATCATTGCCACACAATAGAGCCATGTCCTTGATCATGTTGACACTAAGTACCATGCCCTCAAAGCCATGATGAGGGCCAGCAATGACATCTTCTGAATTGCCACTTTGAAACTCACATTTGAAGTCATAAATTGAAATCTCCAGAGATGCAGGCAATTCCAGGGTAGGATTATCCAAACAAACAATCACTGATTCACCCTGGATGTCCATTGTAACATAGGCTACCTTGTTGACAAACTCCCCAGCCTGAATCTTGCCATGGTCCCCTACCTGCCACCTTTGAGTGGAGAAACAAGTCAAGGTATGTATGACCAAAGTGGGATCCATGCCTGACACGATGAACCATGCAATTTGCTCAGGAGTAGGCAGGTTCACTGGCTCAACATTACACCTTCGAAAATATCCATGAAGAAGGCCACAGTGATACTGAGACCAGAGGCAGTGGGCAATAGTATGCCCCTCCAGACTCAGGGTAAGGGTTACCTCCAGGCCATGTTTGTAGGCCAGGTCCATGTCAAAAAGCTCCCAGTGGACTGCAGAGTTCTCACCACCAGAGATGTAGGGCAAATTCCAAGGAACAATGAGAATGTACACCGAGTCACCTTTGACATGCTGTACATAGGTGATTTCATTTTTGAGGCTGCCTGTTAACAAGCAAACCCAAGAGCGAACAGGTATGTCACAGGGCTGTGCAAAGGACTCCATTTCTTCCATTGGTACTGGCATGATCTGTGGGATAAGATTGGCATGTGAAGGGGGGAGCTTGAGTCAGACATCATGTGCACTGGGAGCTTCCACATATATGTGGCAAGGGACCAAACAGAAAGTCTTGCATTCCAGGCCCTCCAGCACTTCATGCTGGAGGACAAATCCTGCAGAATGAGCTAATGGAGACCAGGTAAGTTCCCAAGCAAAGGAGTGAAGAGGAGACATGATGTACCAGAGGGCAGCACAACCTTGAATACTCTTGGCTGAGTCCAATTTGTATTCACCTCCATATGATCTTTGACATTATGAACTGGGCCCTGCTGATGCACCTTTGCCCTCGACCCTTCTGCACTCCCCTCACCACCATAGCAGTGGAAAAGGCTTTTGAGCTGTTGAGTTAGATTCATGCACCCCAATGGAGCTATCTTAGTCACCCTTGGATGGCAGTCCACTTTGTTGTCTAGTTTGTCTTCCTTGTCTTCCTCTTCATCCTCTTCATCCTCCTGCACAGAAATATCCAGATATCGAGAAGCAGACATGCTCATTCTTGGACACTTTGCTAGGCATAGAGAGTGGTGGGATCTGCACAAGCTTTTGCCTGATTGAGTGGTTAGCAAGGGATCCAAAACCTAAGGTGAACATTGGCTTACAAGTCTGCAATGAAGGAGCTTGGGGGGAGAGGATGACATGGGAGACATTGCCTGTGAGATACAGAATGAATTGGTTTACAAAATTGCTTTGAGAAGTTTACTTATGGGAAGAAGAAGCTTCAGCAGGGGGGGGTCACATACACCTGGTGGATGTCAGTAAATTGCAAGGATTTAAAGATCTACTTACCAGAGGGCTTGACGATGCCACACTCAGCCATGGCTGCCTTAACAACCTCGACAGCAGTACCCTCCCAAGAGGCTTCAAATACTTGGTCAAAGATGGACTTCCACTCATCAAACTGGTACCTGTCACTGAACTTCTCCATCTCTGTCAAGAATATGCCAAAGGAAAGGCTATCATCAGTTGCCCAACACAAAACCAACTGCCATGTGGCAGCATCTTCCAACAAGGGAACTACTAGGGCTACCTTAGCTTGTTTGAGCTCCTGTGCAGCCTTGATGGTGTTTATCCCCATGCCCCCAAGATTCAATATGATGATCTTGATCAGGTCTAACCATTCCTCCAATTTGAAGGCAATGCCAGCAATGGCAAGCTCGATTTCGATGTTGAATAGGAGGGTGGTGTCAGTGAATTCTTCACACACAAACCTCTCAAGAAAGGCAAATGCCTTGTCATTGAGGAGAGCAGCAGTGATTTCAACCTTTGGTTCCATTGATAGCCAGGTCATCGCAGAGCTGGAGGTAACTAGTGAGTGGTAAATAGAGTGGAGGGGGAAGTACTAATGAAGCAATATAAGGTGACAATTTCTGCTATTTGAGGGGATGGGCACTAAGCTTGGCAACCAGAACTGCTACTGTCCTGGACAAGAGGACAAAAAATGGTATCTTTTGATGTGGACAATAAGCATGATCTAGGGGTATGTAATCAGATCAATAACCAAGTATGCAGTGTACATTGTGCTTATCTTTACTCAAGCATGCACAACTTCATTATATCTTGGTCTACACTGGTATTATTGAAATTCTGTAATGCCCACTTTGATAAGTTACTACAAGCTACCTTAATTATTATGGTTGACAGTGTCTACATATATACAAGTGCACATTTATTGGGTTAAATGCTCAATGGCACTCAGACATTGTACTTCAAGCCACCAATTGCTGTTGCAGTGGCAATCAAGTCAGATGCCACTCACAATACCCTACCATGCACATTTATTGGGTGGAATGCTTGAACTGCAATGAGCGATTGTGAATTGAACATTGTGCCAGTGACTTACTGCAAAGGATATGACACAACTGTGGGACACAGTTAGTACACAGGTAGCACTGTACATTGGCCACTTACCTGTGGTGAAAAGAGGGAAAAAGTGTTCATGAGAAAGTTTGCCACTGATATACTGAATGCAACTCATGATCATGTGGTAGCCACTTAAGCAAAGTGCCAAACCTGACACATGGACATGATCATGAGTTGCACTTAGTACCTTACAACTGTCTAACAGCAGCAAAGGCAGCATGATGGAGAAAAATGTAGAAACAAATTCATAGATACAAAATGAATGCAACTCATGATCACATGGTAGCCACAGCAAAATCGCACAATGCATGCACTGTCAATCTCAGTATTGTAGGTTAGAATGTGCAGACTTGGTGTGCATTAGGTTTAGGCTTAGTTCATGAGTGCAACACAATAAAGATCTCATCACATTCATACAAGATGACATGAAAGATGGTGTGCAGCAATCATCTAAACAAATAGGGCATACAAGTGGATATGTGGGTGATAGCTGTAAGTTGGAGTGGGATGTATGTATATGATGGATTCTAGGCACAAAGGTACAAGGTACTTCAGGCTGGCTGTATCCAGTACATTGAGCACCCACCTACAGTTTGAGTCTGACAGTTCACTTGGGTGAGGTGTCTCTTCTCACCTTTTGCCAGTGCCTTGATGAAAGGTACTTGAGATGAAGGTGGATCATATCAAGAATGGGCCAACAGTGCTTGTAGTCCTCGAGCTGTGGGAACCATTGCCTGGCCTAAAATGGGTGAGTAAATTTGCTCTGGACACAATAAACAACCTACAATGCCAGTGACTTTCTGAACAGCTTTGAAATCCTGGTAGCTCCTGCTTTTTGTTGTATTGAGATACTTCTTCACTGCTGTGTGGATGACTTGCTGCCAAGTCTTACCTTAGTTAATGAAGCACATTGTCTAAGATGTAAATACCTTGACTTTATGCATCTCATTGTCACTCCATCACAAGTGCTCCTCAAGGCTGTATCCACCCCTTCCTGGACAGCCTACCTTGCTGGGTGGTTTCTGAATTTTAGTGGTAAGCTCAATAGACTCGAGGTTGGTGAGTGAGGAGTCTGAGGGGAAGGCAAAGATTGTGGTTCCCCAACATCAACACTGGTGAAACTGACTGTCTTTGGTGACCAAGGCAATGTGGGTGTATCCTGATTGGGAAACTGTGACTGAGGCAATTTGGATGTATCCTTAGCAGGCATCTGACTGGACTGGGGTGACTGCGCCCTACACAGCTCCTTCCTATTCTCCAAAGAGGTCTGATGGCTCATGGGCCTCATTTCTTGCTCTGCTACCACAATGACATGCCAGACCTGCTGATACACTATCTCATCCTGTGAGGATAACAGGGGCAAAGCCTCCACTGGGTGGAGGACAAGGGGAGGAACAGATTGAGACCTTGCGCATTGCAACCTGACAAGAGGCATGGGGATTCAGTTTGATTCAGTCACTGGGAGGAATTGAGGAATTTATTAGGGCATTTATGAGGGTGGGCAGGTTATTGTTACCCACATTATTGTTTCTGATCAATTAATCATGACAGCATTCTCATTGTTTGGAGTTAGTTGCCTGGTTGCAAACACCATGCTTCTCTGTGTTTTTCTTATTGGTTTGTCCCTAATATAATCAATTGTACCTTAGTCTAATGACAGACATCCAATTGGGACCATGCACCAGGAATGAACAATTTCTTTGATCCTACTGATTCTGTTTGCCCCTGCTGCTGGTACATTATCTTAGACAGAACACAACATAGGAAGGTGGAGAAACAGACCTGGGTTGAATCACAGGAGTCGTCATTATGTGGGGAAGCAACTTGGGAAAGCTGTCAAGGAAGCACTAAGCAGAGACATAATTGAGACCAAGGATACCCTACCCTTCTCATGCACCTCTGCATGATTCCAAAAGCTAAACCAATAGCATCTGCAGCTACACACTCAATATTGTTGCAGAATTTCTCATCCATTGGTCCCTGGAAGTCTGCTAAGTGGCACTGCACTATACTGATGATGCAGGCTTCGAGATTAACCAAAGATGACTGGGTATCTTTGAACAACATTCAGTTGAGGCAAAGTAGATTGAGCAAAGTAATAGGTACTCACTGCTGGAGCTAGAAGACTGGATATCAGTATCTTGGAATGATGCTGGGTTGATGTGAAGTGGATTGAGCATAGTAACAGTACTTACTACCAGTGTCAAGGGAGGGAAAGAGTGCACTGCCAGAGCTAGCACTGAAATACTGTGTTGCTTGTGTAGAAGTACCATCGCTCCCACTAACTGCTGCATATGTTCATCAAAAATCAGGCATTCCAATTTCATTGCACACCAGAGTTACCAGAAGCACCCCAGATCATTGTGTCACATTGGACCAGCCAGGAGGAGCACAAAGATGCAGATAGGGTAAAGGATGTTAATGATGAACCAGAACACATGTAGGGATGGAGACAGTTGTGGGAATGCTTTGCATGATGAGTAGGTTCTGCCATCTGTGTGGTGAAAATTGGCTACAACAGGAGATGTTATATGGTAAGATTGTTATTGTCAGTGCAGAGCATCGCAGAAAATGCACAAGACAATAGTCATCACCAGCATCACACCTTGACCAAGATAATCAAGTCAAACCTAAATATGAAATGAGAATCAAACATTCATAATGAAAACAATGCACACCAATTATTGCCATCACCACCCAATGCTTGTATACATGATGTTTACATATGGTCTACACATGTAAAATAGGAGACATTGTTACTTTGCTACTTCCCCTATTGGGAGTTCAATGCCAAGGGCTGCACCCCACACAAGTACTACAATGTATACACAGAACAAGCAAACTAACACACTGAAAAAAACCTAGCATTGGAGATGGAATGAAGGAAGCCAAGTCTACCAGGTAGGCAAAGAAGAGCAGGGCACAAAATGCCATGAAGCTGGAGGACAACATGGACCAAATGCCAACTTTCACATGAGGTACACCTGGTCTGGCACCTCGTATGTGGATGTTTCTTGCATGTATGCCTAATCCCATCATGAACTCAGGTTGGTTGTAGAATCACAGAATTTTACTCACAACAAGCAGGGCAGGAGTCTGAACTTACAAAGTGCCTTTCTTCTCGAGCAGGAAGCATGCTGAATCATTGACAGTCAATTCAGTGTTTGCTGCAGTGGTTATCAACTCACACTGGTTGTAGGAGTAGGGACTGAATCTACCACAAGCCCCCCCCCTTTGTGCTATATATGGAAGGGACATAACTCCTGGCTTGACACTAGCCTTATTTGTAATGGTGTAGACCAACTTGACAACCACTTCAATGAGTGTGCTTTTGTTTTTGCTCGAGGGAAGAGCTGTATTAACAGGAAGTGTTGCAGGAATGAGGTAAACACTGTTGTCAGGCACCATAAAGGGCAGCAAATAACCAATGCATTTTGACAAGTGAGGGACTGCTGCAAGGACACAGGAAAAAATGAATGGGAGGTCTGCTATTGTAGATGTTAGACAATACAGATTGGAGCCACATTCAGATTAAGGTTGGACTCACTCATGTGCATCCTGACAACATTGGGTTTCTAACTTCACAACCTTGTCAATTGGTCATCAAGCCATTTGGAAACTTACATTTGGATTGGAAAACAATAAAAATCATCACCACAATGGCTGCTAAACAGGTAGGATGACCTAGACATGCATAATTAATTAAATTAAACATATAGGCAGAGTTAGTACACAACCTACCTGTGTGGTGACAGGTATGTGACATCATGGAATTGCATGCTGGGTTACAGGGACCTGCACAGACATCTTTGGTGAGCAACAATGCAGACAACAACTCTTACAGACCTGTTGTAATAAAATAACAGTAGCCCAAAGGTACGATCTTTTGGTCTTTCTTGTATTCAGAGCATATTCAAAATTTTACACTGCTCATAACCAATTCTCTACAAGCCATTACAGATTAGCTACTATATCTATCTATGTACTTGATGTTAATTGCTGTGGGCACAGTTAGTCCGTAGTAGCAGTCAACATTGGCCACTTACCTGTGGAAAGAAGGAAAAAGGTGTTCATGAGAAAGCTCACCACTGATATACTGAACACAACTCATGGTCATGTGGTAGTGCATGTGTTGTGTGATGTGCAATTTTGCTGTGGCTACCACATGACCATGAGTTGCATTCAGTATATCAATGCCAACTTTTCTCATGAACACCTTTTCTCTCTTTCCACCCCCAACAGGTTAGTCACTCATCAGCTCTTTGTACTTTGCAACCTATTAACCATCTTCACTTGCAGTCCACCACTAAAGATAGTGTAGCAGTAGACCACTTCAGTCACACCACCCAGGGGACCTATTAGGTTCATATATTCTTATAGATGTATCCACCTAATAGGTGTTGACCACCTGGGTATTCCCAGCAACTGCTGGAGATTCACCAGGCCCTGGAGATTCACCAGAGCAAGGGGCCAGACATGGACTTTCCCCAGGATTATTATATCTATAACAGAGTGCCTAGGGTCCAGATGGGGATTTCCCCAGTCGATTAATAGACCTATTTCCTGGGCATCCTGGGGGATTCGCCAGCCTAAATGGACCTGTTCCCAGTGCATGCTGGGGGATTCTCCAGCCTGAATGGACCTGTTCCCAGTGCATGCTGGGGGATTCTCCAGCCTAAATGGACCTGTTCCCATGGCATCCTGGGGGTTTCCCCAGCCTAAATGGACCTGTTTCCTGGGCATCCTGGAGTTTCCCCAGCCCAAATGGACCTGTTTCCTGGGCATCCTGGGGAATCTCCCCCCCACTCTGGGGATTGTCCAAGGAATGCTGGGGATTCTGCAGGCCATGCTGTGGATTCTCCAACTCACTCTGGGGATTCTCCAGGCAATGCTGGGGATTCTCCAAACCACCTTGGGGAATCACCAGGCAATGCTGGAGAATCTCCCACCCACTCTGGGGATTCTCCAGGTCATGCAGGGGATTCTCCAACTCACTCTGGGGATTCTCCAGGCCATGCTGGGGATTCTCCCACCCACTCTGGGGATTCTCCAGGCCATGCTGGGGATTCTCCCACCCACTCTGGGGATTCTCCAGGCCATGCTGGGGATTCTCCCACCCACTCTGGGGAATCTCCAACCCACTCTGGGGATTCTCCAAGGAATGCTGGGGACTCTCCAGGAAATGTTGGGGAGTCTCCAACCCACTCTGGGGAATCTCCAGGCCATGCTGGGGATTCTCCCACCCACTCTGGGGATTCTCCAGGCCATGCTGAGGATTCTCCAGGAAATGTCATGGAATCTCCAACCCCCTCTGCACATTCTCCAGGCACTGCTGGGGATTCCCAAATCCAATATGGGCATTCTCCAAGGAATGCTGGTGATTCTCCAGTCAATGCTGGGGATTTCCCACCTGCTCTGTTATGTCCTGGGGATAGTGATACAGTTGGAATTTGAGGGCCATCAGCTGTCTTTTGTCAAGGCATTTATAAAGAAGAACCAGCAAGGAGTGACTAGATCAGATATGTGGAATTAAATGAGTGGTTTTCATGCTCTAGAATAGTAGTACTATTGCTCTCTAACACAGAAAAAAAGATTTCACAGCATGACTTCCTAATTAGGAAGATGGGTGAAGGCATAGGCAGCAGTGGCATAGGCACTGACTTTGAGCAAACCTGTTTTTTCTCCAGCACCATGCCTGGGGACTCCAGGATGGCCATTGATTTCTCCTAGCCACATGACCTATTTGTCATGTGATCCTATGTCATGTGACTTCTGTGCTCTGACTTGACCCTACACTTTTCATAGTCAACTGTAGTCAAAAGTGCACACTACCAAAGTGTAGCATAGCCTACACTATGCAGCACTACAAACTACTACAACTAGTACACTAGTATGTGTTGCTACTACAGGGAGTGATAATGGAGTGATGTCATCATAATGAAAGTTGTAGCCCCTGATTGTGTAATCATGGCAGTATGCTTATCTTATCAGAAAGTGGACAATTGCATGAGAAAAATGCAAAACACTTGTGATCAGCACTATGCTAGGAGAAATCAATGGCCATCCTGGAGTCCCCAGGCATGGTGCTGGAGAAAAAGCAGGTTTGCTCAAAGTCAGTGCCTATGCCACTGCTGCCTATGCCTTCACCCATCTTCCTAATTAGGAAGTCATGCTGTGAAATCTTTTTTTCTGTGTTAGAGAGCAATAGTACTACTATTCTAGAGCATGAAAACCACTCATTTAATTCCACATATCTGATCTAGTCACTCCTTGCTGGTTCTTCTTTATAAATGCCTTGACAAAAGACAGCTGATGGCCCTCAAATTCCAACTGTATCTTGGAGTACAGAGACAATTTGGCAACTTGTTTCTGAAATTGAGAAGCCAGCCAATCTAAAGGTTCTCTTTGGTATCAAGGAACTCCCACCCCTCTTCACAACTTTCTGCAGCCCACTGACATGCAAAGAAGTGATGCATGCAATATCCTGCAGGGTGGCACCATATTGCACATTTGGGATGAAATGGAAGTTAGCACAAGCTCAAACAATCTAGAAGAAAGAGGGAGTTACAGCATCTGACCAGTGGTACAAGTAACACAAAGATATATCAGTGTCTATCCCCAGGACATAACAGAGTGGGTGGGAAATCCCCAGCATTGACTGGAGAATCACCAGCATTCCTCAGAGAATGCCCATATTGGATTGGGGAATCCCCAGCATTGACTGGAGAATCACCAGCATTCCTTGGAGAATGCCCATATTGGATTTGGGAATCCCCAGCAGTGCCTGGAGAATGTGCAGAGGGGGTTGGAGATTCCATGACATTGCCTGGAGAATCCTCAGCATGGCCTGCATTTTGCTGGCATTGGGAGTATTTGCCAGCCACAGCAGCATATGGATGTGAAGTGTCCCCCTGCCCTGTGCTTCCACAACACCAAAGTAACCCATGACATGGCCAAGCATGCCCACATCACAGATTGTCCTGTTGCCTGATTGGCAGATGCTGAACAGAGTCTCCAAGACAGTGTCAATGATGAAGTGGAAGTACCAGGCAGCAGCATAAAGGTTTGTGGTGATGTTTTCTGCCTGTCAACTACTATTAGGACCTAATTGTGGGTTGAATTGGTTCAAATCTATGTTTTCACCTGCAAAAATCTGAGCAATAGGATCATGTATGTCAACTGGATTTATTTTCAGCCAAAGTGATGGGCCTCCAAGCATGAGACACAAGCCCCAGATCATACTCCAATACCCAGCACAGGCATTATCAGATCCAAGCACTTGCCCATTTGCTGCTGTGACATGTTGCTGCTAGGCATGCACTCATGCATTACTAATCAGCTTGTGTCGCACCTCCTTGGCTGCAGTGTTCTTGAGGTCTGCAATTGTGATGGATGATAAGGCAAGTGTATCCCATTCAAAGTCCTTGTGCCTCATTTGAAGATGTGCAGATCACATAGTCTCTTGTTTCTGCATGAGGGCAAAGACCATGAATGGAAACAAATGGTGTGTGGTGAATCAATGGTCATGATACTGCATGGCCCACTTACAATGTTCACACAGACTAATACTGACCAGATGTTCTGCCTTGATAGCACCCTTGCCATAAGGAAAAAGCACTGGGAATGCTGTGCTGAGTGGGTTACATGTTGTGGGTGATGACAGCAGGGTGGGGAAGTCATCAATTGGTGCATTGCCATGGCGCACAACATACCCCCCCTTGGCGGTGTTCTCATTGAAATTTGCAAGAGCCTGTGCCATCAACTCTGAAGATGACACTTTCATCTGCTTGAGATCTGCCACTCCAAGCACATGTATTGGCATAACATCACTGGTGTTTGTATCACACACATGATCTCACTGTCTGTGTGCAGTGCATTGAGGATGTACTTTCACTTGCAAGATCCCCATCCCCCTCATTCTGCTCCCAGGTCTCATCTCTCTCCACATCTGCCATTGGTAGGTCACTCTCGCCTTCCACTTCTCTTGCAGGACATATCTCAACACCATTTGCAATGTGGTTATTTAGTATCATGAGCTCATCATCATTTACCAGGTCCTCATTCATCGAGTAACCCTCTCTTTCCTGAAGAGCCACATCTTCACTATCTTGATATCAGATTGTCACTTCAATCTCTGCAGGTATGCTGTCCTCTGGTAGCATGAAGATACATTCATCGGATATCATTGTGTCACTATAATTTTCATTGTTCACCTGCAGCCATTTCAGCACATCATGTACCACTTCCCATCGCACTCGAAAGGTGCGAGAGAGCCAGTCCTTTGGTAGTTGCTTCATTCCCACCATTGTGGTCACCAAAATACTGCTCAGCATCTCGACAGTCTGCAGCAGCAGTCTACCTTCAAGCATATCCATGATGGCAGGGACATTAATTTCATACAGGGTGACATTTCCTGCCATGGCCCATTGCAGATGGCATGGATTTTGTGAGCAATTGCCATCTCTGGGATATAACTTGAATACATAACCCTGATGATAGTGCCACACAATTAGCAAGCTCTCTACAAAGCTCAAGATCTGCAACACCAATGGTATGTCACCTAACCACAGGTTGTTGTTCATGGCATATTTGGGCAGGTGATCTGCATGCAGGGCTTGGAGACATTCTTGGCAGACCCACCCTTTCCCAACCTCATCTATATGGCTGCTGTCAACCAGAAGTCTGTCCCACAGCTGGTGTGTGGGATGTGCTGTCACAGGGCTCAGATGTCATCAAACATGTGGAATGTCTTTGCTGATGAACAAGTCCCCTGGTGTGTCTGAGCTTTTAAATTTGTCAGGTCATTGCTTGCCTTACCTTCTTTATGCAGAAGCTCCCACATGCATATGACACAGACTGATGATGCAAGCACCTCGTTATTTGTAGCATTGATGAAGGCTGCTATGCAGCGCTGATGTTGTTCAGGAGTAGTTAACTGCATATATTGCACTGTCACCTTGTGTTGCTCCTGCTCATCCTTGCCACTGCTTTCATTTGCAGTGGCCTCATCCATTTTGCACTGACATTTGGTATGCCATCTTTCCTGTCACATCTCTTTCCCTTTATGCTTACACTCCATGGTCATTTCTTCCTCTGCCCTGGCCACATCTTGTATCATGTCTTGCACATTGCACAGTAACTGATAGATGACTGGCCCCAATTGTGCCCATGTTCACAGACTGTTTGGGAGGGTGCCTGCAGGAATGCTGTCATACAATTGCTGTCGAGTCAAGCATCCCCAGATATCAAACATTTTCACTGCAAGCTGGAATATGGTGGTCATGCTTGGTAATGTCGATTGACAGACTCCTCTCTATGCCACCACCATCACATGAACCCCTATTGGTAGCTCTTTAAATGCATGGGGCATGCTTGAGGGGGGCCAGGAACTCATTGCCCATGTCCACCATCTGCACATATGTCTGACTCCAATCTGGTTCAGTCATCCACAACTGATGACATCAATGTGTCCAACACACCTCTTGAGGGTGTGTTGACCTCCATCCTTAGCTGTGACTCACCACTGACTTCTTCCTCCATGGTAGAAAATCTCAAAGATAATACACTCACAATCTATGCTGCCACACCCAATCTGGCTGCTTGTGTGGAGTTTTTCTTTGGTGGTACCTCTGGCAATGTTGCTGCAAGGAGAGAGATCTCCTTACTATGGGATTGGGTATTAATTTCTATTTTATTTGCTTTATTGTTTCTTTACTTACCATTATGGGCACTATACTTGAGTACTATAGTTCACTTTTTGTGTGCTTAGTCAGCACCTATGTACAGTTTGTTCATACTGTAAGTTTTTACCAATAGATGAGTTACCCCCAAAGATGAGAACAAGAGAAAGACTGCCCCAGACAGCCCTAGACAGTTTCCTATCCCTCTACACTCTTTGCTCAGGCTAAAGGAGCCCCTTTGGACTTACTCTCCCTCTCAGGTTCTGGTACTCCATCCTCAATCCTCACTTTTATATTTCCTCACATCGCTGTTCTCAAAGGTCACACCAACAATGTCACTGAGTTGGTACTCAGTGGAATATTCAAAATTGACCACCAGGAGTTCTTTATGGGCCCCAAGGGTGGCTTCTCACCCAAGAATGCATTCAGCTGTGATTTTGCAGATACCAAGCTGACTTGTAACCTTCTTGCTGTGCAACATGATGTTGTATATGCCAGTACCCAATGCAACTTTCCCTTGATCATCTCGAACATCAGGGCATTGGAGAAGCTTGTGCCTTTGAAAAAGGGGGAGAGTTTGCTTTCATCAGTGCATGAAAGTTGTGGGATGCCATGCATTCACCTTAGTCATGCCTTGTTCACTGTACATCCTCTTGCTGCTGTGGATTGTTCTCTTCACTGTATCTGATCACATGTGATATATAGAAAAAGGAGGATGATGATGACCCAGACAACATTGCCTGCATTGGTATGTGTCTCCCTCACCATCAAACTCTGCATTCTCTTATGTGCATGAGTGAAGATGCTATGATGGCATGGCCTGTGCAAGAGGACAACAGGGAGGCCCTGAATCATGCTGCCTCAACCCACTATGTTTCTCCCCTCCCTGTGTTTGATGTTGATGGCAAACCCATCCAGCCTGTTGACTATCAGTGGGTGCTAAGTGGTGCTGTCATTCAAGTGCAGTTCACTTTGTTACATTACTTTATCAAAGGTGATAGGAAGTCTATTTTTACCACATCTCTTTGTGAGATGCACATCTTGTGAGCCCCTCTGCATGGTCCTGTCAATCCCTTCAAATGGGTGCATCAGGGTTTGCTGAACTCAATTGGTGAGAACAAGAGGTCTTGTCTGGTAAGTTTACCTCACATATATGGAATGTTGGCTTAATCCCACTGTCACCGTCATGCAGACCTAATGCTCAAGGTGGTGTTCTGGCTTCCTACAGACATCTCCACACTACATTTAACTTAAGTAGCTTGATCATGTAAATAAATCATGTGCATAAGAACTGTGCATGTCATGTGGTATGGGGGTCATTGCAGGCATGGCTGTGTGCACCAATGTCATGGGTGATGCCACCTGCCATCACTGCACTCTACATGGCATTCTGTTGTGATTGTAGACAGCCATGAGTTTAAGGACCTCCTGGGGTGACAGTGCCTGGGATTGTGTTAGGGGTGGGTGCATGGCATGACATGCTGAGCAGGGCTGATATTTTATATTTGTATGTGGCTAACATCTGGGGTATGAGTGGGTGAGGGGTAAGGGGAGCCCCACCAGTGATATGTCAGGCATCCCCTATCTTGCCTTTGCACTCAACCCACAGTGTCATCGCTGCAATTGTTGTGTTTCTCAAAGTCATTCATCCACAATAGGTGACACCATCCTTGCTCGTTCTTGCTTCACTGTGGTTGATCTCTTCACAAACAGTTCCCCATGACCTCCCATGCAGGTGATGTCATTAACACCACACATTATGAAGTTTGGGGATTCCTGTTTGGTCCCACATCAGGTCCCCATCATTTGAATGTTTGCATTGTGAGTCAAAGTGTGGAAAGGTGGTATAAACCAACCAAAACCAACACCAAAGACAAATGATGTGCAAGTGGTGGTTTGCCTCCACAGAACCTGGAGTGCAGAAAAATCTAAAGTGGGGGAAATTTCAATGGCAGGTGTTCCTAGTGCAAGCCATCAATGAGTTATGTGGGAGTAGATGAATGGATGATGGCTGGATGGGGGGATGCTGAATAGAGTGAAGGGATTCAGCCAAAAGTACTTCTGCAATGAGGACTTTGATAAAACATGCTCCTGGCACAAGTTGATGACAAGTTACACAGGAGTGGGAGGATGACTAAGCAATACCTGCTGACTAAGTGTGGATGAAGCTTCAGATAAAGGATGGAGGCAGATAGACCCCTTTGTGGAGCCTCAACTACTAATGATACAAATGAAGACAGATAGACTCTTCTGAATGAGCCTCAACTGTCAACAATGAGTTATGCTGAGCTGAACTGACTTCTGAGTGACTTCTGGACTGCTTCTTTCCCTTGTGGATTGCTTGGGGGTGTAGCTAAATACATGGGGGTTTATATACTGTGGGGGGAGCACAGCTTGTGACAAACAAGGCACAAACACTTGGTAAGTAATGAGTAAGGACTGGGTAATCATGATGAGTAATTGAGAAATGAAAAGTAAGCAAGCAAAGAAGATTGGTAAATATTGGCAATAAATGAGTCAAGGATAGTCAAAATATCACAGAATGAGTCAAATGGAGTCAGAAACTGAGTAAGTACACTGATATCACATTAGGGGGTGGCAATGCAAGTCAGATCTTGGTGGAGACATCTCTAGATCCAAAGATGGCATGACAGATGGGTGGCATTTCCAGACAAGGAAGTATTAATTCCAGAATTGCAGGGCATGAGTCAGGCATCAAAGGGGCTAGGGCATTGGGGGTCTGTGGGGCAATGGGAGCATATGCAATCATGTCTCCCACCCTTTCATCCTCTCAGTGAAGTTAACAAAAATTTCATGGACAGGGCTCTGCTGAAGGAGAAGGAGAAGGGGGGATGTTTTCTGCTGGATCTTGCAGTAAGAAGGCAAGATGCACATCATACTTGTCATGGATGCACCTTCTCCAACTTCCACAGGTGTATTGATGTCATCATGTCCTCCACAGTGGCTGCTGTGTCTCTGATTTTCAAATTTCACAGCACTGCTGTGATGAATTTCATCACAGTGGATTACATCTTCTGTGCATATCTGAAGCTGACCCTCAAGCTAATGTCCATGGTTAATGCAGGTCCTTTGTACTTCAAGCCATTCAGATTCAAAACAATGTGCACCCTGGAAAAGTATGTGGAACGTGGGTTTCTTTTGGTGGCTTGCCAAGATATCCATGGAGAATCTGGGGTGTGTAGGTCTATGGCTCACTCCATGACTCATTGCCATGGCCTGTGGGTTAATATCAGCAAGATGCAGGTCATGTCTCTTTCAGCTGCTGAGGTTTTCAAGTGCTTGGGTTTCTTTGACATCATCTGGCTTTTGGGGGGTTATGTATGAGGTAGTGTGTATCCCTTTATCCATGCTCAGTCTTTTCTGATCAAGGATGATTCATGAGTGACTGTTACACATGTGCAGTTAACTTGTTGCTGATGCTACTTAGACATGAGCTGCTCTGATGTCAATTCCTTGGAAGTGAGGAGATTGTGTAGGTGTGATATTGTCTGGGGTCATGTACATGTAATGTATGTGTACTATGTTGTGATAAAGGGGGGGCATGGTATGAGTACACAAATCTATTGGTTGGAATTCTCTTTTGTGTGCTGCATGCTGCGAGGGCAGTGCTCTGGTGCAGTAAACAAGGTGCCTGCTGGTGGCGCCAGCCATGTTCTAGTTAATTTGACAATTCTTCAATGGCAACACTTCAAGTTTTTGTGAATGCCTCAATGTTTGCCAATATTTCAAGTTTTGCCTTCGAAAAATTGTCAAATTAATTCTCAAGTGCAGTCTTTACATTTTGTACTACATTAAAACCTGTCCTTAACTCTCCAAAATCTGTTGTGACTGTAAAAAGTAAAATCACTAAAAATAAATGTCCAAATCACTTTTATTAAGTGTCAGAACAAATGAAGATCAGTGTCATAATGTGATGCTGAAGTGCCCATCCAGTCTAGTAAAAAACAGTGTCTTCATTAAAAAAAAGAAATTGTAAGTACTGATTAACAGTGCCTTGTAACTGTTTTTCCATGTCATGACACTGTATTAAGATGATGCAAGCACTCATTTTCTGCCATGATGGTGCAGATTTTTGTATATACTTACACATGCCCCACTTGTCATAGCAATAACCAGGCAATTGACAAAATTGTGATTTCTAATGCTACCTGAGGTTACAGAGACACCAACAGTATGATCATATAACAGGGTATTCCACAAAAGCATCAGTTGTCCATCACAAGTCCAGCAGGAGCTAATGAGACCAAGCAACACAGAAATGAAAACTGTCTGGCAAAAGTGATCCATCAACCTTGTAAAGTGGAGAATGTTTGAGGAGCAACCAGCAGTGCAATGACAGGCAGCCAAATAAGAGTGGTCTAGCAGCAGTGATTGAAAGTGTGTGAGGGAGGATTTAGATGTGGACCTAATGTTTTGATCATGTACTTTGGGGTGCACATCAAGCCCATGCCTGAATTATGCAAGGTTGACCTTGTTAGCAAGCCAACCTAGGGATACATAAGAGTGTAGGTTTACTGCCACTGTGGTATCCCCAGCCTGAGGATCCTGTTCAACTGTCTCAGTGGCCGTCTTACTTCACCAGCCACAAGGTTTCTTCCCCAATGTTTGAGAATGACTCATAGTTACACAAGCACTACTAGTGTTTGCAGCAACCTGGATGGTTGAAATGCAGCATGTAGTAATTCCATGGTCAGATCACTATGTTTCAATGCACCTGACTGGTTTCTTGCTGATCCCATCAGTAAATCACTTTGAACTGTGGAGCTCTCCACAGTGCTCCATAATACACAGGGTCCCCTAGCTAGGTCCAGGCTGGACAGATGCCCCCAACAACACCTTTTGCTATGGCTAGTTGCCTGTTACTATGGAATGGTCACATTGTCATGGAACTTTGTCCAGTATCTTACTTACTATGGATTGCTATGGAACTTTCATGCTTAGCTATCACTGTACAAAACTGGCCAGACTGTATTCTCCTTGGGGTGTTGTCCAGTACTCCCCATCTCAATGTTTACTTTGCAAACAGGTGGTCACTCTACAACTAGCAACAGTTCACAGCAGGTATGACAGGAACAGGTGGATTGGCATCAATTGCATACTATGTGTAATGACAGGTACAACAGGAATAGGTATTATGAAATCAATCAAGGACTGCCTGAATGTGCTGGTACCTATCTACATTCATATCAACCTCTTGCAGTGCAGCCCTGATGTGAGGAGTCAGTATGAGCATGTCAGCCACCCTGGTACTTACCATCCTTCCTTCACCCACTGAGAAAGCTGATCACACAACCTCATGCTGTGATAAGGATTACAAAGGATGTTGTTCAGCACCTTCATCATGCCATGGAAAATGGAATTGTAAGCCTTGCCAGAGAATTGAGGCATTGTCTTTCCTGTGCCATTCTTCACAAATCCATCCAACACACAATGATACTGTGAGGAAAAGTTTGAGTTGCAGCAACTCAGGGTGTAAGATAACTCACTGTGGCTGCAATGAGAGCCAGACAGGAAAGGGGAACTGAATTGCTGAAGGACTCAGGATGCTTATCCATGATTTGATATGTGCCAGTATGGTAGAATTGTATGACAGCTTCCTTGAAGGTGGAGTGAGTGAAATTCCTGGTTTTTCCCTGATAAACCAATCTGTTAGTAGTGCAGATAATGAACTGTGCAAACATACATTCTCATCAATACTGTCTCACAGGAAAAGTGAGTTGACAAGGAGCTTTGTGGCAGTGGTCTCTATCCATTGTACATGAACCCATGGTGCAACATCAGAAGGAGGGATAAGGTTGAACACAGATGGCATGGTTTCCAGCACAACTGACTTCAATTCTGAACACCAGGTAGATATATCACCAAGGAGCTACTGGCAGTATGTCAGCAGCTGTAACCAAAAGATGGGATTACTTATGAGGTGCACCATATCTTGCTTGTGGTGAGGCCAGCAACCTATAAAGTTAGGATAATGAGACATGTATAAAGTGAAAATATTGTTACTCACTAGCTTCAAATTGCACACTGTGTTGATTCCACTCAATGATGACAGTGATGAGCACCTCTGTTATGGAGAGGTTGAGGTTGTGAGATTTCAATGGGAATGGGTTAGAAAGTGCATGTGCAGCCCTGCATTCTCATTTAGCATCTTCAAGACAGTCCTTCCATACTGCCTTGTAAAATCTCAGTTGTGAGGGCAATGGACCCTCATCCTTAGCTTTCTTAGAGTTATGAGGGGCTCTGGCACTTTAGGGAATGTAATTTCCCTACCAGGGGAATTGCCTTATTTTGCTTGTTTTACTTCACTTTCATTCTAGATACTGTTTTCTATGAGTTGCACTTAGATTTCGCATTTTTGGTTGCTTAGTCAGCAGTAGTGCTACTTATGTATGGTTTTTTCCTTTAGAAAAATAGATGAGTTACCACAGACAAGAGACAAGTTCAAGAAGGTCATTTCCCTGCACCCAGACAGCCATAGAAGCCCTCAGACATCCCCTCCATCCAGTCCCAGGCTATAGAAGCCCCTTTTGGCCTACTCATTCCCCTCAGATATCCCTACTAAACCTCTCCTCATTTAAATCTCATTTCCTACAGCATGCTGAGATACTTTGTTGACCAAGTTGTGTGCAGGGGTCAGAAGATCATGATCAGGAACAGAAGGGCAGCCATTAGTGTGATGGTGGTGTTCAAGAACACTGACAACAGCACCACATTGGGAACCCTAAAATAACAATCTGAATAAATAAAGCTAGCAGGAATGGCCTTTTCATACCTCTGGCTGAGCCTTGTCCTTGGATTGTAAGCTTTGCAGAGCTGCATCATCATCCTCATCACATGAGTATGTGAACTCATGGTCAGGGGGTAAGGAATTGTGGCAAATAGGATTGCTTGTCATCATTTCTTGGGAGAGGCCTAACAAAGAACATTGAGTGAATACCATAATAACCTCTGACATGTACCAGGATGAGTTGATTGCCTAAGATTCATTGCACCCCATCCAAATGCATTGTCTTCATCTTTGTTGGACTCATCACTGGAGACCTCACCAGCCTCTGCATCTGATGGGTTATTATTTGAGGTCTCCAACTCCTCTTCTGAGGAGCCCTCTGATGACAGCTTCTCTGAACTCTTGTGGAAAACATCAGTGGTTGCCAAAGTTTGTCTTGATGAGAGTGAGCTATCAATGGAAGGGTCAATACAAGAGTTGGGGATTATTGAGCACTTGAAAGTCAGGTTCCATCCAGGGAGGCATGATATCACCTGACTGTTGAGCCAGAACACTGAAACCAGAGTGATGGGAGTCTGTGGGGTGCTGGTGGAAGACAGGAGTTGCTACTGCCATTGAAGACTGAGGGACAGGATTCTGAAATGAACATTGTATATCAGTATGAAAAGACACTCACTGGAGGCATGTCAGCTGGGCTAGGACCATTCACAATGGGAGGTGCATAGGGTGGTGGGGCAACATTGGACTTTGCAAGCAGTTAGCTTGATATTTGCAAATAACTAGAACTGACCTTCAGTTTTGCATTCTGGCCAGCACTGTGGCCCCCACCCTTTTTCCACTGAGTGGGTGGTGGTGCAAGAGGATTTACAATGGAATTGTTGGGGAGATCTGTTGACTTTCACAGCCATGTAGCTCAGCCTTCAAGGGCAGTACCAATCCATTCCAATTGCTCAGCCCTTCCACCTGAACCTGCCCCTGCCCTTCCACTATGATGGAGTCCTGCTGTGGCAACAGACTGAGACTCTTTGAGACCAATGGGTGGGCTTCCTAGACACTTGTTTTTTGCAGGTCAAGTGCTTCCATCAGCCTCTGGTTGTTGTTTGGCTTTTTTGCTATCCTTCTTTTTCAGTGGGATTGTTCTAGATTGGGTGGACATCTAAAGGTACAAGCAGTTAAGCAGAGAACAGTATAAGATGGATGCCTAGGGACCATGACAAAATGACATCTTGTGAATCCATATAAACATTGACAGGTTCATCATGAGATGTAAAATGAAATGACATGCAGAGACAGTTACCCACTGCAAATGAATTGAAACTTTACATGTAACATACAGAACCTGAACTAAACATAAAATTCATGCTAAGACTACACACCTTTGAAGTGTTTATTGGGTGTAGGAGGGTTATCCATGCTCCTTACCTCTTCACAAAGGCATTTAGAGGATATAACTGCTGAAGACATAGCATCCATATCATTCTCCTGATGCAGACACATGCTTGAATTAAGCACTGTGTGCTGGGCAATGATCTGCTGGAATGCATTTGTCATCTCCAGTGGTTTCTCATATGGCATGCTGGCCAAGAAATGATCAAAAAGGGAGACAACATCAGAGAACCACACTGCAGTTCTGCTCAGCAGAGACTGCCCAAGCAATACATGCCACTCATTAGCCAGAGGGAATTTGTGCATGGTCAAAATCCCATGCCTCCTGCTCAACTGACATGGGAGCTGGGTGTGTATGATGGAGTTTGTCAATCTTGTCTTGTAGGTGATGAATCTTGTTGTCACAGTCATTGAGGTCATCCTCAAGGTATGCAATATGATGACACATGTCACTGTATGGGGAACAGCAGATGATGCATACAGCTTTGTCCACAAGGTTGAATATTGCAGGAGTGAGGCCTGCTTCAGAGCAGGCTATGCCCTGGGAGTCATGCAATGCATAAGCATTGCATGTTGTGCAACCAGAATCATGATGCCAGATAAATGGCAGTTGCAGGTGGCACACCCAGAAGGGTCCTCCAGGGTGTTTGTTGTGATGATCATCATGCTCTCAAGATGAGGCACATGACAACACAATGGATGGGAAGTGAGCACATTTCTGGCCACTGCTGACCATATGCATGCTGTGCTGAGCAGTGGGGGATGGTGAGCAAGGAGCCTTGCTATCAGGTTGTGTGCCTCAATGCACAGAGAGCTCACCACAATTGCATGTGGCTGACTCCCTGTGAGAATGGCATGGGGAAGGCTGGGGGGAGTGTGAGCCCGAGGTACTGTGATGGTTATTGTGGGAAGACATACTTGATGGTTTGTTGTGTTGGAAGGAATTGGTGCTACTAAGTGGTATGAGTGAGGAAGAAGCAAAAGGAAAAAAGGGAGGGCATGAGGCATAATTAAAAACTCAAGTAATACTCAACATAGAAAAAACACATGACTGAGGAGTGATCAGTGGGTGGCTACATTATACTATCTACCTTTGACAGAATGCAGTGTTCAGTTATTTTTAGGCTTTTTTTTGATCTTTATCTTCAGTATTTTATTTTTATTTTTATTTGACTTTGTTTTTTCTCTGAGTCCATTTGGTTCCATTAGTAGTACACAACTACTCGTAGCCACCAAATGGCTACTACATGCTATCATGTATCCTGTGCCTTGCAAGGCAACTGGCATACATTCTGCATGCCTTGAAGTTTGAGGTACCTGCCTAGGGCCTCAAGCTTCTTGCAGTGGGATGTCAGTTCCCATGTGGAGTCTCCCAGATTCCACTTGACAAGGAATTCTACCTTGTTATCAGACCACCGGTGGGCAAGTACCTCATCCACTATCCATTTGTTGTCATTGGTCATACTGATGTTGTAGAAGGCATGTGCATCATGTCATGGAAACAGTAAGTTGTCATTTGGCTCATACTTGTTGCATATACATGTGATCTCCATCCTCTATGTATCCACTGCACTGATAGTCTGTGTAAGCAGATAAATTATATTGAGTCATCTCTAGTTGCAAGACAGTAATTGGCATTGTGACAACTGAAATGATTGACATGGCAAGGTACATATGGGGCCATACTCTCTCTACAGACTTGTGGGGTACTGGGGAATCTCCAACCCACTCTGGGGATTGTCCAGGTCATGCTGGGGATTCTCCCACCCACTCTGGGGATTCTCCAACCCACTCTGGGGATTCTCCAAGGAATGCTGGGGATTCTCCAGGAAATGTTGGGGAGTCTCCAACCCACTCTGGGGAATCTCCAGGCCATGCTGGGGATTCTCCCACCCACTCTGGGGATTCTCCAGGCCTTGCTGCAACAAGACAGTTTCCACAATACCATCCATGACTACATTCGCACAAACATATGTGCACACCTTGATGACCTCACTGAGCATGATCTGAAGAAGATGGCTAGAGACACTCAGCTAGCATATTGATGACCACACAATCCACACACCCCTGAATGGTGAGAGCAAAATCATGACTTTGAATGATGTCTGGTGAGATCTCAGCAACTTCATACCTGCACAAGAGTGACCTGTCATCATGCCACATGTGATGGTCTAGGTTGCAAAAGAAGGGCACCATGGCCACTCAGTGATGTCAACTATGTTGATGAGCAAGGCAACTGGGGAACATGAAGAACACATTGGTATATAAACACATATTGCCCAGCCTTGCTGACAATGATGTGGTGCAACAATGACCTCAAAATCAACATGAATGGTGCAGACACTAAAGATGTTGCTTTCTATATCACTGCATATGCCACCAAAAAACAAAAGAAAAGTCATAACCTTTCTGCATTAATGGCATCAGCATTGCCATATCATATAAATAATCCAAAGTATGATGATGTGTGTGAATGCAATCAGCTGTTGATATACCACTGTATCAACATAATCAATCATGAGGCAGAGTTATCAGCACCACAGGTGGTGTCATACCTGATGGGATATGGTGACACTTTCACCTCACACAACTATGCCTTGTTGTACATGGGGCCATTATTCAGTACCATCAAGGGTCTGTACCCAGAGTTCTCAGTAGGCTCAACAGAGAGGTGAGCATATTTGACAGCAACATGGCATGATGGCTGCCATACTCACTATCCTGTGTGGCCAGGTATTCATACCACTTGAACAGTCAGGGCAATGACAGTGTAGATGGCAAAGAGAATAACAATGTGGTGACATTACTGTGCAGTTGCCAAGGGCAGCTGTATATGTGCATGCAAATGCAAGATTATCTCCAACACAGTGCAGAGTTGGAGGAATTCTCACTTCTCGCATTCATGTGTGATACATGAGAAGAACGTTATACACCAACAGAGGAGGTCCAAAGTCAGCAAATGTCTCACAAAAGGGGCCACACTGCACACATGCATTCACCTTTTCATGAGGATCACCCAAAGGCTCAAACACACTGCCAAGTTCATTGTGCCAAAGGACATGATACCCTCCCACAGCTTGTAGGCCCATGGCTGCCCTGTGACAATGACAGCAGCACATACAATTTCTATTGCATGTGCATGTTGGCCTTGTGGAAGCCATGGCGAATGGGATCTGATCTGAAGATGAATGACAAGGAATGGAGTGTTGTGTTAGAGCATATGAAGGCTTCAAATACACCTTGGGTGACCCACATGCTCACCAGTTTGCAGTACTATTATGACTCTAAAACAGCCTGCAAAACAGCATCAGTTCCTGGTGAGGCAGGTGAACACCACCAACCTGTTTGAGATTGACAAATGGCAGACCTTGTTGATGAGACAGCCAATGACACAGACAATAGTGGCGACTGGACAGCAACTCTATCTAAGGCAGACCTGGCAGCTTTCAAATGAGATCAACTTTCAGTGTGAGAGCAGGCTCATGCTAAACAGGTGATTGCCATGGCACTGCAGTATGGGGTGTTCACAGCATGTGCCCCCACCCAGCATTCAGAGAAATATTCATATTGAATAGCCATAGGAGGGGATGTACCTCAACTAGAGGTGCAGTTGAATGCCATGCATGCCATGGCAGACAGTGCCAAGGAAAATCAAATATCCATCATGGCAGACAAAGAAATAGACCATGGTAGCATCCTTGACAATGATGGCATGACAGGCCCAGAGGCAGGAGGTACCTACATGCTTGCACAACTGGTGGCTGTGGAGGACAGACTTGAGCCATCTGCCATCAACAACCTGTTAGAAGATCAACAGCGAGCTTATGACATCATTGATTGGCACTTACAGCACTTTGTCACTGGTGGGAGACCTGATCAGCTGCATATGATTATTCCAGGGGAGGGGGGTGTTGGGAAGTCAAAGACAATACAGATGATCACAGAGAATTTTACCTGCCAAAGTGTTGGTGGTATGCTTGTGAAAGTGGCCTACACAGGCATTGCAGCATTGGTGCTCGAAGGCAAGACATTGCACAACATAGGTATGATGACTCCCTGCAATGACTGTGGAGTCTAACAGAGCAGTCAGAGGTATGATACTGCTAAATGGTGGAAAACAATCAGCACAGATGTTAAAAAGTCTTGAGGATTACTGGCATGACAAATCCTATCTTATTATCAATGAGATGTTAATGCTGTCTCAACCTTTGCTGGCCAAACTCTCCAACATTATATGTCACACATGAACAGGTGTTGATGCTATGTCAACAGAACTTTTGTTTGGAGGGCTGAACATGATCATGGTGGGCAATTTTCATCAATTTCCACCTGTGGCTACAAAACCATCCACACCTTTATTCTGGCTGTGTAATATGGAGAAGGATTCCCACAATGAACTTGTCAGTCATCATATCTATGAACAGTTTGATGTTGTCATCTGCCTAAAGACTCAAGTGAGAGTCACCAACACTGAGTGGTGCAATCTGCTGCACTACATATGCAATGGGACCTGCAGCAAAAACAAGATCAAGATGCTGTGGGGGCTTGTGTTGGAAAATCCTACTTGTCCACTGACCAACTTTACTTGCTCACCTTGGAAGGATGCAGTACTGGTGACACTGCAGCATGCCATGCATATCAATTGGAATTCAATGACTGCCAAAGAATGAGCAAACTTGGAAGGTATACCACTTGTCAGTTGTCCTGCTCTGGACACCATAGGTGGACATGCACCCCTTGCAAGAGAGATTTGCTGTGGCAGCCAATCCAAAGGGAGGGCAGGGTCATAATCAACAAGAGCAAGGTGGGCTGTCAGATGAGGTGGAGCTTGCCATTGGCATGCAAGTGATGGTCATGTTCAATGTCACAACTGATCTCAACTTGGCAAATCGAGTGCAAGGCTGCATGGTTGACATTGTGCTTGACTCAAGAGAGTGTGTCAAGTGCACAGAAAAGAGTGTCATTCAGCTGCATTATCCACCTCTGTATGTGCTTGTGGAGATGAAGCATACCAGGGTGAATGGTCTGCAAGGACTGCATGAAGGCATGCTGCCAGTGACACCAATCAGTAGAACATTCTCCATCACAACAGCTGCTGGCAAGTGATCAACAATCACCTGTGTGCAGTTGCCAATAACACCTGCATATGTGTTTACTGATTATTGCACTCAAGCACAGACACTCGAGCACTGCATGGTCAACATAGGCATGCCACCTAGTGGTCAGTTGACAGCATTCAATGCATATGTGGCACTATCATGTAGCCATGGTCATGAGATGATCTGGCTGTTAAGAGACTTTGACATATGACTGTTCACTCAGCACCCTAGTGAATACTTGTGAAGGGAGGATGAACATTTGCACAAGATGGATGAAGAGACAGCAGAGTGGTGGGAACTGACAAAGACATTGGCAGGTGTATATAGATGAATGGAGGCTGATTGATGGTAGATAAAGATAAAAATACAGTACAGTCTACCTCAGTACAATTGCAATTCCCTTGTGGCAATGGTTCATTCGCACTGTGACGAGCAGTGGGTTTTGCCACACAGAGTAGATTTACTGGCAAATGCGCAGATGTCGAAAAAAGCATCTCGATTTTCGGGCTGGAGTGACCTTGTAAACAAGGTGATTTTCAGGTGCAGTCTCTACATTTTTTACTACATTTAAACTGTGCTTAACTCTCTAAAATCTGTTGTGAGTGTTAGAAGAGCTACATCGACGAAGCTGCGGCCAAAAGCAGTGCAAAGAACGGCGCCGGCGTGAACCAAAAGCAATTGCAACAACGGCACCGGCGCACGGAGGTCACATGGGGAGACACCGACGCCACTATCTGCAAATTATGTGGCACAAGTGTCTGGCTTTCCGTACTCACATACATCTCCTTGAGGTCTTGCACATGCAACATACATTTATACAGGTAACAATGGTGATACAGCCAAATTCTATGTTACGGTGGGAAGCCTGGCATTTATCAATTTACTGATGGAATCTGCGATAAAAATGCTTTATACACCTCCTCGTCTTCTTCCTCCCGAAGGTCTCCGAGTGTGTTGAGTGTGTTCTGTGCAGCGGCTTTAACAGCATCTGAAGAACGTGCATCTGCCAGCCATTGTCGAGCAGCTTTTTCAGTTGCCTTGCGATGATTATGAGCGTTGAGTCTCTGCGCAAGGAAGATCACGAGATCCATCACAAGATTGTAGTTGTCGACATCTTCAGGCACTTCACGGAGAGCCAGGAAATGGCTCTTCTTCTCCGAACATCCACGGGCATCGACTTTGGTCCATGAATCCAGGGGTCCTGGCTCCAGCGAGATGCCGTTCTTGTACTGCAGGGAAATCCAGATGAATACGTAGATGAACGATTCCATATCATGGCGGTATAGGTGCTCCACTTTGCCATCCAGGCCCTCTTTCTCGAGGAGATCAATTGCCATGAACGGCATTGTTCCAGTCTGCTCGTCACCCATCAGGTTGTCAAAATCTGTTAAAGACGAAAGGTCATAATCGTTTAAGACGCCCATCACCTTGCTGCCATCCCTATAGTACATCAGGTTTGAGTGGCTCACGTCACGATGATGGATCCCCTTGCTCCAGAGAGTATAGTGACCTAGAATAGAATGACTGTCAGAACCAAGACACCGCAAAAACAAAGCGGAGCTTACACAAAACGCACTGCCGCCATGCGTCGAACATTTCGTCGCCTGGGAGCTCATAGACTGGCGAAAGCTTCTTTGATACGAGCAGGACAAGCACCCTGCTGCCTTTATCAGGGTTCTTGAGGCCAAGAGCCTTCCGAATGATAGATGTGGAAACCGAAAACCTCTTCGTGAAGCGCAAATCTGGCACATGTCCTCTGATGGTGTCGTCGTGCTTCCCAGCTTCCTCGATGCGGTTCAAAATATATTCCTCTGGGACTCGTGCCTCCTCCGCCCAGTAAATTTTCGCCACCAGCTCATCAGCCTTTTCCTTCGAATTGACCGACATTGGGCCTTCGCAGGTGACGTCCATAACATTAGTCCCACGTCCCGCCAACACCATGTGGGGGTCACTCTTCCCGTAAAGTTCCAGTGTGCATCCATCGACCTCGAGGATGTAGGACTTGACGCGGTCGCCTTCGAGCTGCGGTTCAAAGTCTGTGTTTCGACCCCAGTCCTCCAAATTGAATCGCTGGAGAGCATATAACAACACCAGAAAGTGAGGGAGATCTTGAACAAAATTGAACCCTGCCACGCTGATGAGGCCTTGGTGGTCGTAATACCAAATCCAAATGTCGTCGCCTGAAAGGTGTCCAGCGCAATCCGCTCACTAGCGAGAAAAAATACGCACCTATGACAATGCAATTGAGGGCTTGCTTCCCCGCAATATTGGCGGACTGCATCTCAGCAGCGTACAGCGCTGTCTGAATTGTTACGTGTGCCCTGGGCTCGTCCGCCCTAGGTCGCTTGCTCGAGCGAGGCTCAGGTTCGGCCCCTGCCGTGCGTTTCCTGGATGCCATTCCAGAGCCTCCCGGAGGGTTGATGCGAGGTGATCTGCGTACTATTGGCCGCATGTTAAAACTGACTGGACAGTGTAGTTCCATTACTTACCGTCAACCGGCTTTGAGAGTATCACTCGCTCGGCAACAGAAGCCACTCGCGGCTCTGTTTCTTGCAGTTCATTTCCGTCCTTGCCAATATTCAAAAACTTTGGTTGGGAAGCTCGGTACTCTGACACGGAGTATTCATCGGGAGGAGGCTTCATTCCTGACTTGGCTCACTTGAACTCGAAGACACCGAGCACATCGTTCCACGACCTCGCTGCGAGTGTCTTACCTTGGCCTATCGCCGATACATGCTCGTCCCAGCTGCTGGATCTAGCTTTTTTAAAATATTTGGCGTCGTTCGCGAATGAACAAACGATGACATCTGGTTTGCGTGTGGACTTATCCTCTGCGTGATCTTGATGGATGACCCTTGGATCGTTGCGCTGAAAGAACATCTGTACTTCCTCGCTTTCGTTTACACGCATACCATCGATCTGCAGCTCTTTCAGGTGCGCGAGAGCAATGTTGGACGCCACGACGAAGGGCCGGTACAAGTCATCCTCCAGTTTATACTTCGCGCTGGTACAAGACGTTAGCAAAGAACGCTTACATCAACACCGGCATGCAAGTCACGAAACTTACTACCGTGTGAGAGTCGCCTTGATCTCCGAGGCCGGGACTCTCAGTTTCTTGCCTTGAGATCGCCCATTACATATGGGCAGAACTGCATTCATGCATTTGTCTAAAATGGGATGCTTCTCCAAGTCGATACGGTCACCTGGCGAGTTTGAAACTCGGCTCAATATGTACTCGAGCATGTTGTCTGCCTCGCATTGCTGTGCTTTGCAGACGTCTTCCATGACCCAAGGCATCAGATCTTTAACACTTGATTGGTGTCATGAATCAGGTTTATTTCGATGAGGACAGAAGTGGACGAACGCACCGAGTGCCGTAGATGTGAGGCGTTGGCTGATTGGAGTCGAATGACGATTACCTACTTGTGGCATGGAAACATCCATTGCTGCGCCACCGAAATCAACCATGGTCACTGGCAGTTAAAGATTCGCGTTAGATGGGCACTAGCGTTGTATCGTGATGGGAGCCTGGAGGTTGAACGTTGAGTACTGAGTGGCAAGAGTCGTGCCCATCCTCATCTCTGTTAAGTACATCTCCTGTTCGTCCGTCTCGGAGATGTAATGGTTATTCCTGTTGTCAATTTCCTCGGTTATTGACAAGCTGATCCTATTACTAGTGCCATGCATGAAATGATGGTGGTGCACACAATCTGTAGGTCCTCTCCAACTTCAGCGGAACAAAGGAATTCAGCAGTTATGCAGACTGCCTATACTATTAACTGCATGTCAGCAGAACAACAGGATGCACAGAAACTTGAGGCATTCTTAGTGTTATGCAGAGCACCCACTGGTACCCACAGAACATAGGAGTGTGTCAACAGTGGCACTCAAGGTGGCTTTGGAAGCACTCTGGAAGTGCTCTGGAAGTGGCAAATTTGAGAGCAATGCCATGATGGGGTTTGAAAATTATGCCTCCCTATTGATGACACCCTTGATGGTCTGCATGCCTACAGTCACTCTTATCAAAACCCATGGCTTCATCGAGTGGACAAGCTTGTCAAGGAAGGCCTTCTGTAACTGTGACTACTGGTGGTGGATTGTCCTCAAAAGTACCTGGGAGTGGGAGTAAAGGGAAGGGCCCAGCATCCAACAAGCAGCTGGCAGCTGACTCCTCAATGGAAAGTACCCAGCCAAAAAACATTAATTGGGATACTCCTCATACTGAAATACTTGTCCAGTGGCTTCTTAGCCATCCTGCTAACTGCAGGATTCTTTTCAGCAACAAAAACTCAGGTGACTTACCCCCATCATTATCATCTACTTTGACTGAGAGACTGGTGGGCCACAACAAGAAGGAGGTCCAAGCAATGATCACCCAAGCCATTTTTGAGGATGACAGTGTCTACAAGGACATGTACACAGTGAGTGCTGCCAAGTTTCAAGTCAGTGTGGGCAACCATCTCAATATGTGAGTCTCCGATCATCTGATAAACCCAGGATTCACTAATGATCATCTAGGCTGAAAGTGAGCTATCAAAAGTGCCATGTGCAATTCAAACAGTCAGGGGAAGGCATCATACCTGGCCATCCAAAATTCACCAACCTTCATGGTATGTTACATGACCAATGTACAAGAATGCAGGGGCTTATGTGTACATACAGATGTTGTTCTCAACAGTTTTCCTTGGTATGATGACTTACATTCCATTTGGCAGGGGAACCCATCATTTGATCCTGAGCCCTTCAACTCCAAGCTGAACAAAAACCATGCAGAGGGCTTCTTAGCAGTTATCCAAAACAAGACACTTGGTATGAAGAACATTTCAGGTTCTGGGGCTGAGATTGCAGGTGATTGCATGGGTGTGGGGGGGACAGTGGGGGAACTCAAGGAAGCCAAGGAGGATGTGCCATCTCAAGCTGGTGGTGAAGTCACTAATGAGGGCAAAGAAGATGGTGGAGCTGGGTTTGATGAGGCAATGCTGGGGTTTGGGGATGAGCAGACTGGTGGTGATGAGTACCCCAACATCAACATGGACTCCACATCTGTGCAGGGTGATGAGGTATGTTCATGTTCATTCAGAGCAATGTTAATGAAATTTTACTGGTAAGTTATTGCTAGTTACAATGGCCTTCAACACCAAGTGACACTCATTTCCCCTCTAGGTTCTCCCTCCTGCAAAGGGGTCATACACCCTCATCAGATAGCCAAATTGCCTTCTCTCAGTCTTTGCCATATCTTTGCCCTCCTCCTTCATCTGCAAGTATCACCTCTATGACAACATCTAACTCCTCTGGTAGCTCTTCCCAAAAACCTAGCCAGTCCCTCTGGGACTCATCATCAATGACAAGTTCAATGAAGCCAAGTTTGATGCTAACTAAACATGGCAAGTCTGAGCTTCAAGACCAGGTCATCAACTTGAGTCATGAAGCTGAGTTGCTAGTGGCTTCTTCTTCTTCTGGGAAGACTAAATGCTATATGATCAAGATGGAATATCTTCATAGGAAGGAGGAATTGATGAAAGAGCAGGCAGAAATGGCAACTAAGATGGAATTGGAGTTGGAGGCAAAGAAACTTGACATCCAGCTGATGAAGGCCCAGGAAATCACCTTCAACAGTGAGGCAGAGACACTTTGCCTCAAAATTGAGCTTGTGAAACTCATGAAGGCTGATTCGGACACAACCCCTCCCACTGCATAGGTTTATCTTGTCATGGCCAAGTTTTTACCCATACTTCCCCACTGTATCCATCTCTGGCACATTCCCACTATGTACTCATGTCATATTCATGTGTCTGCTATTCTCTCACAAGATGTACATATGGTGAATGTATTTTTTTCATCTTGCTAATACTACTGTCTCCCACAACTGCCATTAATGGGTTCATTCCTGTCCAAGATGTTGAAACAACTGATCCAATAGCTTTGCTCAAAATCACTGACCAATAGTCTCCACAGCCTCCACCACAGCACTTCTGTCCCCATCATCAAGGCTGCTTCCTTTGTTGACTGCCCAGTCAGTTGAATGCTCAATTGTATCATCCATTTCCTCCTCAAACCAGATGATCATGTTGTGTAGGATGATGCAACAAAGCACCCAGTAAATTGTGACTTTCATATCTTTCTCTGTCTGGATTTTCAGGCACACTTCATGGAGGCTTTGAAAGCACCCTTTCAAGGCAGCAAATGCACATTCAACTCATACATGGATCTTCCAAAGCTGTCAGCCCATGTACTGTGGCAAAACTAGGTGCATACCTTTGAAAGGTACTTGTTATACACATTCTGATCTCGAGATAATCTCCCACCTTTAGGTTTTTTGAAGGGGACAACACACCACATCTCCAATGGGTATGCACTGTCTGCCCATGTCCAATGATCGTGTGGAATCAACTGCATAGGGTTTGAAGCAATGTGAGTCCCCTGGAAGGTCCACACATCATGGACGCTTCCCAGATGTCCAAGTCGATAGTCCATGACAAGAAGATTGTGCAGCAAAACAATAAGCTATCTCGGTAAGTTTCTTCTGCTGTTCACACTCAGCATTTGAGTACACACCTGGCAGTTCAACAACTACCTAGATTTTCTATCATAGACCATTTCCCCAAAGATATGTGGTTTCTCAAAGAGGGGAATACTCAAACCATCAGCAGCGAACATGCCATTCCTCCAGGCTGAACAGGTGCATGACTCAGTGAAAACCTGTGCTCTTTCCATCTCCTGCAAGTCTTCAGATGGAATATTGATGAATCTATCATGCTCATCCAGTATAGCTACCATCACACAGTTTGTACAATTGACAACTGAGCCAACGCTAACACTGGCCCACTGCACTACATCCTCAGGTGATGCCACATTTCCATAATGCCCTGTGTGGAAAAGGAAGATCACCAACTGGACTGCAACTGCCAGCTGATGGTTTTTGGAATTGCTTTGGAATATCATGTGTCCACTAATCTGATCCAGAATGCAATCAAAAATTGGTGGGTCTACATGAAGGCACTTTCAAAACAAGTGGGGCCAATGATCTGCAAAATGTTTGAGGAGGCACAGCTGAGATGCCTGCATCATTGGCATCTCAGGTCTCTCAAGGATACATGCATGCTCTACTTCATCTCTGAGAGCTGTGATTGTGTTTAGCAGCTGAGCATAATGCCCATCATGCTCAGCTGTGGAGTCTGTGTCATCAGAGGCACTGGATTCAAAATCTGACAGGATCAGAGTGACTGGCGATGGTGGAGTGATGAAGAAGAGAGTTGTGGGGGAGCCAGAGCCTGAACTCAGCAACATTGACATAGATTCTGAGCTGCTACCATCAACTCCATGTCGTGCATTTTCAAGCCTTGCTATTGCAACATGAAGGCTAGTCTTGTCCAGCTGTTTGAGCAGATCTTGGCAGACAGATTTCCAGGGCATCTGGTAGCTTTGGGATGATGGGTAGATGTTTATCAATCATGTACAATGCATCAATACAAGTTTGATATGTTATTTGACATGTATCTTCCAGGATAAGTAACTACCATGTATTGCTAGTCAAGCAGTGCCACAGGGCATGGCATGTCAGAGTCAAATTTTATAGCAGCAGTGGCCTGTCAGAGTGCAATTCCAGAGCACTTCCAAAGCCACCTTGAGTGCCACTAACAAAAGAAAAAAAAAAAGGCCTGAAATGTTCTTCATACCAAGTGTCTTGTTTTGGATAACTGCTAAGAAGCCCTCTGCATGGTTTTTGTTCAGCTCAGAGTTGAAGGGCTCAGGATCGAACAATGGGTTCCCCTGCCAAATGGAATGTAAGTTGTCATACCAAGGAAAACTGTTGAGAAAAACATCTGTATGTACACATAAGCCCCTGCATTCTTGTACATCAGTCATGTAACATACCATGAAGGTTGGTGAATTTTGGATGGCCAGGTATGATGCCTTCCCCTGACTGTTTGAATTGCGCATGGCACTTTTGATAGCTCACTTTCAGCCTAGATGATCATTAGTGAATCCTGGGTTTATTAGATGATCAGAGACTCACATATTGAGACAGTTGCCCACACTGACTTGAAACTTGGCAGCACTCACTGTGTACATGTCCTTGTAGACACTGTCATCCTCAAAAATGGCTTGGGTGGTCATTGCTTGGACCTCCTTCTTGTTGTGGCCCACCAGTCTCTCAGTCAAAGTAGATGATAATGATGGGGGTAAGTCACCTGAGTTTTTGTTGCTGAAAAGAATCCTGCAGTTAGCAGGATGGCTAAGAAGCCACTGGACAAGTATTTCAGTATGAGGAGTATCCCAATTAATGTTTTTTGGCTGGGTACTTTCCATTGAGGAGTCAGCTGCCAGCTGCTTGTTGGATGCTGGGCCCTTCCCTTTACTCCCACTCCCAGGTACTTGTGAGGATGATCCACCACCAGTAGTTGCAGTTACAGAAGGCCTTCCTCAATGAGCTTGTCCACTCAATGAAGCCATGGGTTTTGATAAGA